GTTTCCCTTTCCCCAGCCATGCCGTCGTACTGGGGAGAGCTGCCTGGCCAGTCCCAGCCTGCCCGGGGCCCTGGGGACCTCATCCCGGGGGTGGGGGAGATGCGGGCTGTGGAGGTCAAGGAACCCCCCCTTCACCAGCCCTCAGCCGTGCACAAACCCCCTTTCACAGAGTAAGTACTACAGGGGGGGTGAAGGAACCCCCCCTGCACCAGCCCTCAGCCGTGCACAAACCCCCTTTCACAGAGTAAGTACTACAGGGGGGGTGAAGGAACCCCCCCTGCACCAGCCCTCCGCTGTGCACAAACCCCCCTTCACAGAGTAAGTACTACAGGGGGGTGTTATGGGGGGGTGAAGGAACCCCCTGCACCAGCCTTCACAGAATAAGTACAACAGGGAGGTCTCAATGATCTGCTGGGGGGTTGTATATGGAAGTGAAAGAACCCCCTTTCTGCATCAATTCTTTGTTTTTTAGTCTGCCAGACCAACGTACAGCAGTGGCAGCCATATTTTGTATAACACACATAACGTTATATAGCACTGCAGCAAAAACTGTTTGTACCACTTGTAAGGATAATGTCACAGTACTAGTATACAGGTGGCCACTATAGACAGAACTCTTAAACATTTGGGTTAATGAAATAAAGAATCTGATAATATACTGGTAAAAGGACCACTAAAAACTGGCCAGGTTTGACTCTGTATAGCAGTAACTTGACATCACATGCATTGAACTACTTGTCCTTAACATCCCATTTTCATGTTCACAACAACGGTTACTGTTTTGTTCTGCATCTCATTACCTCTAACTTTCATCGACACCCTTTTGTGTCCCTACTACTTACAGGCTGCCCCCTGAACAGTGTAACCTGACGATCCACACCATCCAGCTGGCACAACATGTCCGCACTCTCAAAACAAACAAACAAACAAACAAACAATAACAACATCCCGCTCTAATATCCCCCTACAGGCTGCCTCCAGAACAGTGTAACTTGACCATACACACCATCCAACTGGCACAACATGTCCGCAGTCTCAAAACAAACAAACAAACAAACAAACAAACAATAACAACATCCCGCTCTGATATCCCCCTACAGGCTGCCTCCAGAACAGTGTAACCTGACCATACACACCATCCAACTGGCACAACATGTCCGCAGTCTCAAAACAAACAAACAAACAAACAAACAATAACAACATCCCGCTCTGATATCCCCCAACAGACTGCCTCCAGAACAGTGTAACCTGACGATACACACCATCCAACTGGCACAACATGTCCGCAGACTCCGCTCCATGTTACAGTTGGTCCAGGCACAACAGGCAACGCAGGACGGCACAGTTAGTGTCTTATTTCATTTCATAATGTCTTAAGGTATGCAGACAATGCTGTTTTACATGTATATTTGGACCCAACAGGCAACACAGACATTTCAGTGTTTGTTAGACAGGTAGCCAGCTTGTTGGCTAGATGGCCAGCTGTCTAATGCAGGATACAAATTGCAGAGAGAACACAAGATTTTTGGCAGCTAAAGTAAGTTTGGACACAAGGATACAGCTTGCTACCTATAGAGAGAGAGAGAGAGAGAGAGAGAGATTACTTCTACATTAGTAGATCTATTTCGTAAATTTTGTAGTAGTATTTCTTTGTGGGTTATTGACCTGCCTGTCTCATCTACCCCCTCCCCCCCCCAGGTCGAGGACCCGTCCTACCCCCCTCTGCCCCAGGAACCCCCTCCCCCCGAGAGCTTTGACGAGCAGAGAACGCCTGGTCCGCTCAGCTTCACACCCAGGGACCCAGACAGGTAAACAACAACAACAGAACTGTAAATAACAATAACAGTACTGTAAACCACAACAACTTTGTAAACAACAACACTAAACAACAACACAGTATGAAATACCAACAACACTGTAACCAATCTGTAAATAACCACAGCACTATATTTTATAAATGTCAAAAAGTTCGAAACCTGCATTTAAGTAAACTGCAGTTTGAACTGTATGCCTTGCTTTATTAAGTTCATGCGAAGTTTGGGGGAGACAGGTACAAAATGCAATGTAGAGGCAAGTAAGCTGCAGTTTGAACTGGCACCAATAGATGGCGCTATTTGACCATGTGTGTTCCAGTGAGTTCATGCGAGGTTTTGGAGAGACTCCAAGTGAGCTGAGTTCTGCCTCCTGTTGGCAGCTGCTGAGGAAAGCTGTGGGGACGATCTGCGCTCACTCTGGATGGGAGAGTAAGGCTGTTTGTTTGTTTGTTTGTTTGTTTGTGTTTACACTGCCAAGCCATGTACATGTAAGCTGTTAAAGGTAGACCAGAGGCCAGAAAAGACCACATTTCTAAAAAGTTATAAAAAGACTTCATTTTTATTGGTAGAAAGTCAACCAAATTTTAAAAATTTAGTGAGAGATTTAACAAGGAAATGAACTTTTTATGTGTTACTTATGTGTTTCTGTGTCTCCATGTATGTGTGTATATAAATGTGTGTTACATGTGTGTTTGTGTGTCTCCATGTTTGTGTTTCCCCCTGCAGGTGCAAACGAGTCCGCGCTGGACACCCTGACCTTGTGTGTGTGTGTGTGTGAATGTGTGTTAAGTGTGTATATAAATGTATGTTTGTGTGTCTGTATGTTTGTGTTTCCCCCTGCAGGTGCGAACGAGTCAGCGTTGGACACCCTGACGGACATCGCACACGAGTACAGCGCGACCTTCTGCAGGTCACTCCGAGCAGCCGTCGACCAGGAGGCTCGGACTGGAACTACAGACTTCCCGGTAAGGCTGCATTTCATAACCACCTTCACCTTAACAACTATTGGACATGTTGCTATGGTTACAGGATGTTGACCAGGAGGCTCGAACTGGACCTACCGACTTCCCGGTACGGCGCTGTTACAGAGCGGGCATTGTGTTTACCTGATCAGAAGGAAAACATACGGTTTTTGCTCTGTTTCCTCTCTTCCGTTACAAACAATGCCAATGATCTGGACCAGAGGTCTGTCACCATAGTGACTAGTGCTGTAGCAGACACCCTGTGGTGTTGGGTTACATTATGTAGCAAGTTAGGGAGCTGGTCACCATGTATATAAATGAGTTTGAGCAAGAATGCACAGAGCATGTGTTCCCTGAGGAGGGAGTGGGAAGTGTTGCTAAGGTTACAGGATGTTGTTGCCATGGTTACAGGATGTGATGGAGCAGGTGTTCCATGAGATGGGTGTTGGCAGCATCACGTCCCTGCAGACGTTCTGGCAGACGCGGATGGTGGATTACCACGGCTTCCTGCAGCAGCAGAGCAGACAGCTGGCCGAGGAGTACGAACGGGTCACGGTGGGTCACTCAGGGTCAGGGTTCAAGGGTTAGGGATATGATTATGAATGAGTTTTACATCATTCTGTCTGAAAATTGAAGTTAGGAAACTGTACAGGTAGAGACCACTTTAATTTGTTTTGATAAAACCCTCCTGTATAAAAGTCTATATTTCTTGTGTTGCAGAACCCAGACAGACCCAGTGCAGAGGATGTTAAGCCTGTCAGGTGAGTTCGGTTCACACCAAACTGTGGGGGAAATTGTGGCCTCAGACATATTTACTTCACAGTATTCCTCCCAATATTACAGTGCAGTCACTCCAGGACATTTCTTCTGATCTTGCACTGATCCTTCAGTTCTAAAACATTAGATTGTCCTGGAGTGAAAGAAAAGCTGTTTTGTAGACATCTGAGTTTCCTAGAGACAACCAAAGTCTTATCCTGGAGATGTTTCCTTAGTGGCTCCCCCAGAACAACTGATGTACTTCACAGGCCAGAGTCACTCCCTACAACACCTGAGATATTCTTAATTCTTAAGACATGTTTCTTATTCCTTCCAGAGTTAAGGAGGAGCCGTTCTCAGACATCCAGTTCCCCCTGGCAGCTGAGGAGGAGCATCAGGAAGAGACAGATGCTCCGGAGCAGCCTCCGCTCCACTTCCCCAGCCTGAGTCACTCCCTGGAGCACCTGGAGCAGTCTAAGACATGTTTCTTGTTCCTTACAGCCTAAGACATGTTTCTTGTTACAGAGTTAAGGAGGAGCCGTTCTCAGATATCCAGTTCCCCCTGGCAGCTTAGGAGGAGCATCAGGAATCTAAGACATGTTTCTTGTTCCTTCCAGAGTTAAGGAAGAACCATTCTCAGATATCCAGTTCCCCCTGGCAGCTGAAGAGGAGCATCAGGAAGAGACAGATGCTCCGGACCAGCCTCCGCTCCACTTCCCAGGCCTGAGTCACTCCCTGGAGCACCTGGAGGAGAGCTCCAACACCTCCAGCTCCGGAGGCTCGCCCAAGTGGTCCCTCCCGTACATCAAGACGGAACCTCAAGACTCCGACGAGACGTCTCAGCACACGAGGTAACCTTCAGACCATGTCTTAACCTTCACAACTCTTCCCATGACCTTGGTATTCTTCTTTTGGACCAATTTTTTTTTCTGATGAGACTTCTCAGCACACAAGGTGACCTTCAACCTTCACAACTTTCATGACCTTGTCTCCTTCTCTTATTTTTTTTCTGATACTCTTATAAGTTAGCTTCAATATAACTGTACCCTTTTTTTACTTTTTTTGCTCTTAACTGCTTTTCTTTATCTTCCTTTTCTCCATTCCTGCACGTGTTTCTTCATAGTTCTGCTGCACCTGTGCCAATCCGTCAGTTCTCCAGGTAAAAGTATTTATTTCCTTTCTTGAAATCTTTAAAAATAATTTTTTAATGTTTAATATGTTCCTCTCATTTTCTCTTTCTCTGATTATTAAGAAGTCTGTTTTTCATCCTTGTTTCTTCAGTTCAGCTGTTCCCGCGATAGTTCGACGACTGTCGGGGTACGCTTTGCTTTCTCTACCTCAGGTCACAGTTGTACATGTGCAGTAACTTCAAGTTCAAGGTCACATTATAGTTGTACATGTTGAATTTTTTCACGTCACTTTGTGATGTCTTATGCCATATCTTTCTGCTCCAAAAGAACTGTTAAATTTCCATTAAATGAAAAAGAATCTTTATTTTGTAGAAAGTTTTCACGTTTTTTATTCCCCCCTGCAGCCCAGCTCCCCCCCTCCCTGGCCCCCCTGTTTCTGGGTACTCTCTCTTTCCTTTCTGCCTCTGTCTTTTCTTCTTGTTTCTTTTCTGACCTACATCTGATTTTCAACTTCATATTATAATTATGTGTTCCTGAAAAACAAAGTATTCTGCCTATATAGAAAGAAAGAAAGAACTTTATTGCACGACACATGGTACAATGTATGGCAAACTACATAAAGAGAGTAACAACAATAAAATAAGTGTGTTGCATAAGATATATGCAGGCTTGCAAATTTTCCTCACTTTTTCTGAGTTTTTTTTTTTAATTTGGGACAGACAGAGAAATTGGGACAGACTTTTGGCTTGTCATTAATTCTTGTCTCTGTTTTCCCCCATACAGAACCCCGTGTGGGAATATTACTAACCCTTTACTCCTGTTTTCCTCATACAGACCCCCATCTGGGCTGGATGCCTTCGATGACAACATCTCTGTGACTGAGCCCCCACACACCCCAAACCCACATACCTGATGAGCAAGACCCCCTACACTCCATACTCCTGTACCGGATGATGGCCAACCACTACAGTTACCTCCATGACAGTCTCCCTGTTAAGCTCTTCCATTTACATCAGCATTTTATATTGCAAAGAGAGAAGAAACACACCACATGTAGAGGTACATTGTTGCAAAGATTTAATATACACATACTTTTGTTTCTTATAATCTATCTACAAAGTGTAACATCTTATACTAACAGCTGATATGGTTTCTGATTCACAAAACTGCTGTTGTCAATTGGAAAATTGTACTTGTGAAACAACATTTAATACATGTATGTACATGGTGCAGGTATGTATAATACAGCAGAGGACTCTGAAGTAAGCTTTGGTCGTGGCAGGGCCAGTCATAATGCTCCAAAGTGGCCCAGTCTCAACGCTATACTGGCCCCGCATGTGTGGCCCAGTAACCCAGCTTGACCTCCATTCCAGTCAGTCAGATATCAGTCAGTGTACCGGCAGTCCTGTCAAAACAAAGCAAACAAACAAAACTCATAAAAACAAAACAATACAAATAAAATGGAAAGAAATATGAAATGACAAATTTTTGTGTGAATAAACATTTTGGTGAGAAATAAACTGGAATGAATAGGAAAGAATGAAACCAAGTCATGCAGTAACCGGTTACTGGAAAACTTCATCCTCAAGTACAGTCTCTGAGTTTGTCACCGAGTCTTTGTTCTGTGTCTCCTGGTTATTTCCCACCTTAGCTGGGACTTGGGTTGTGTTCTTAACTTCTTCTGAACGGTTCTCACTCTCACTAGTTTCTTCCCTGTCCTCTCTACTGTCTTTAAGTGTCTCTACCCCTGGTTCCTTCCCCTGCGCTCCATCTGTCTCAAGATGTTCATTCTTAGTTTCAAGATGTTCATTCTTAGTCTCAAGACTTTCACCCTTATTTTCAAGACCTTCAGCCTCAACTGCAGTCTCAACAGGTTCACCCTTAGTCAGATTTTCAGTCTGACTCCCCTGACCCTCCCCACTCTCCTCCTCTCCATCCACATGTTCCACTGTGATCTCAATATTATGATTATCTTCGTCCTTTTTATCTTCTTTCACTCCTTCCTTTTCTTTATTTTCTCCTTTTTGCATTCTCACATTCTCTCCATCTTCGGAGTCACTCTGCCTAACCTGTTCTTCCTCCTCACTTCTATCATCCTGACTGTCAACATCATGCTTTGAATCAGACTCTGTACTCGTGTTATCACTTCCTGCCCCTGAATGTTCCCCTCTATTTCCCTCTCTCTCCCTCCCTCCGTCCCTGCCGCCCCCCTCCCCACCGTTTGTGTCCTTCTGTTCGTCCTCGCTGTCGTCGCTCTCGTCGTCTGACGGGTTCTCATCGGGCGGGGGCGGCGGGACGACCTCTTCCTGCTGACGTCTGACCTCTTCTGCAGGGGGCGAAACAAAAAATAGATGTAAAAAGAAAGGTGACATTTACTATTTACCTTCACATGGTCTAGCTTAACAAAATACTGCTATGTTTATTCTTACTCAAGCATATGTATGGTGACCAGCCCCTCCAATTCTGTCCTGCCACTTGCTACATTATGTTTGCCTCGTCTTCCTGACCCATAGCCCCTAACCCCTACCCCTGACCTGTAAATCCATCCTTCTCAGCTTCACCTTCCTGACCAATAACCTCTAACCCCTGACCTTGCCATCTTCACCCTCCTGACCCTTAACCTCTAACCCCTGACCTGTTAACCCATCCTTGTCAGCCTCCTGCTGACCCTTAACCCCTGAGCTGTGAACCCATCCTTGTCAGCCCTCTCCTGACCCTTAACCCCTGACCTATGAACGTCCTTAACCCCTGACCTTCGTACGCCTCCTTGTCGGCCTCCTCCTTGGCCCTCTCCTCCTCCTCGCGCATGGCCATGAGAGACAGGACCTGCTCCTTCGCCTCCTGAGACTTCTTCCGCTGGTGTCTGGACGCGCGAAGCTGACGCTCCTTCAGCTGGGAGGGGCGAGACAAAAGTCTTAGTAAACTGACGTCTTCCAACAGTTCTAATATCTTCAAGCTTTGAAGTGCTGAAGGCAGCAAAATGGCTCATTTGTGGAATATATTAATCTCCAAGCAGATTCGGTGGGGCAGGGGGACTTTATATTGGCCAGTCCTGTATCCATTGGCCGCCTGTATCCAACGTTCGCCCCACGAATCTGCCACAGAACGGAAGACTTGAAGCCTATTTTCAAGTAGCTGCGAAGTGTTTTACGGCGGGTTACGTTTTCCACGCGCGCGCCGCGGGAGTTTCCGTTCTGGCAGTCGGTGCGCAGTGATCCACGATCTTCCTTCCTATTATATAACGGTCACATTTTGAAAGCCGTACCTTTAAACCTTACTCACAGAACCTTAACCTTACCGGTGTTTTGAGTTGTCCATACGCTCGCCGCTCATCATGAACGACATTTTGCGGGCGCATCGTGTTGCACGTGACATTTGGGGTTTCCCCGGACTGAAAGATGGCCAAGTTGCGGCCATCAGAGCCGTCGTGGAGAGGAAAGATAGCTTCGTCGGGCTCGCGACAGGACACGGAAAATCCATTTGCTACCAAATTCTGCCATCCATTGCCAAAGAGCCCACAATCGTCATTGTAATCTCGCCACTCTATGCACTTGTTGATCTGGTATTGGTAAAACAAGTTTGTTTTCTGGACTGTTTCCCCCCTTTTTTGCACGTCGATTTGACCGATCTCACTGCCCCCCTCCCCAACTATAATGGATCACAACACTGCACATGTATTTTGATCTGAAGGATCCGACAAAATTTTACTGATCGTAAACAGAGTAAATGTCAACATAAATTTTCACAAACACCGTTGTTGATCGCATTACATACCTCGCTAGTCATTAGGAAGGCGGAAGCGGCAGGGAGCTAACACGGCCCGCTGACTATACTGTTCCCTACACCGGACGCGCGTTAACTCCGGGCAGTAAAAAGATTTACCAAACGACGTTTTAATGGTTACCAGGGAGGGGCAGCGACACCGATTTTGAAAGGGTAGCCCCGCCCTGGTGCGTTTTGTGGCAGATTCGTGGGGCGAACGTTGGATACAGGCGGCCAATGGATACAGGACTGGCCAATATAAAGTCCCCCTGCCCCACCGAATCTGCTTGGAGATTAGAATATATACCTGTATCTGTATAACCGCCCTTCGGCGTAACACACCAGCTACAGGCTTGTGATCAAAACTTAATTCTATAAGGCTGGTAGGAAATCTGGATTTACGACGTTTTACTAATAAGCATTTGCTCTTGAAACAGGTTTCAGCAGAGATGGTACAAGGTGTGTATAAAGGTACGCTGTATTTTCTTCAAGGTTATGGATGGAAGTTGAAGACTCCTCTATCGTTGCCCACCTGTTGGCTCCATAGTAGCTCCTTGGTGTTCTCTCCAGGATATCTGTGTTTGTCCCAGATCCGCTTGTACTCAAAATACCTGAAAACGACCATATGACATTTTTAAGTCTGTTATTCTTGTTGCTTGGTCCCTCTGATGTCTAGTGTCGAACATGGCAGCAAGAGTGTCAAAGAGTTCACCAAGTATCGCTTGCTGTTTCTTTGAAGGTTTTCTACGTATACCCGGTACCCAACAATGTAGGGCGAATCTGTACTACTGAAAACAATTTTCGTTCTTGATCATCAGAAATCTGCCATTTTCAGCCGAAGTACGATGTTGAGTCTTCCCAGTGTACGTAACACGTCACCATGACGTCACTCAGCGTGAGGTTACCGTGAGTCTTCACGACAGGCGCTTCTATCGACCAGCCGACTTAATGCACGTTAAGTACCCTCCCCATTGTCCTGTTATTGCTAAAGTACCCCGCCATTGTCCTGGCATTTATAATGGATATCAGCGCAGTCCCCGGAGTATAGCGTCTGCAACTGGCGGGCTTTGGGAATGACTCGTTTTTGTTTGTATATTTTGGGAAGGAAAGCGATCTCAATTCAACTTTAGCCCACTGAGGAGGTTTTCAGAAGTCAAGTGTTAAATACAAAAAAGGCATTGATTGTTTTAACTTTCGGTCGGTAACAACATGTTTTCGACACAAAATTGGAATATTGAGGACATTCCAACAAAAAAAAGCTCGGTAAACGAATGAAGGTTCTGTTATAGCCTGGCTAGCCTGGTTGGGAATAGTACCACAAAACGTCGCACGACGCACCTTACATCTTTGACACCTGGTCTGGACAGAGCCGATCGCCTCATCATTACATGTACCAGGTGGCTCGTTAAATCAGTGTCGCCTATTTTTACGAGTTTCTCATTGTATCCAAAACCATATCTATCTAGTTCTATGCCTGAATGGGTTAGGGTTATGCTCTATGAGCAGACGCGGTTCAGGATACTTTGTGCGCGTACCGTACGTAGATTTGCCCGAGGTACGGTTCTGGATGCGCGAGGACTCTACAGAACCGTGCCTGAGCACATTCTACATGATACTAGTACAACATTCCTGACTTCAGATTCCGTACAGTCAGCGCCACCAGCCGTGAATAACTACATGGGGCCCCTACATGTACCTCGTCACACACACAGATGTCAGCACGTATTTACTGTAATCATGTTGCTGATACGCAGATGTCCCTACTGACATGATGTAGACTTGACTGTACACAAACTCTGGCCCAGTCTTCGCTAGGACGACCTAACTCACTAGTAAACAAGTTTGAACTCAAGAATCTAAACGCAAAGATGGTAATATTACAACAGCCACACAAGGAGTTTGTATTGACATTACAAAGGAAGCCAACTCAATGACGTTACTATTCCGTACCCAAAGAATTAGAATACCATATAAATTTACCTCGCCTATGATAGTGCAGCACAGTATTTGCAATGATGACCCAGGCTTAAAAACAATTTTGAAAGCAAGAATAGCAATGCAGGAAGGTAACGATAGCAACACGTGTTTATGCAGGTATCCATTTATAAATATATATAATATACGTAGTTTAAAACACAATTATGTGTACTGTTAAGTACACACACATCCCTTCAAAATGTTGTTGCATGTACTGTGAAAATGAAGAAGATACTGTACTCAATTTCAAGGAAGGCTTAAATCTTTAAGGCTCACCTGTTCAAAACGTCCGTCTTTTTCCTGTTGTCCATGATCTTCCCTGCAAAATAAGAATATTCCATGATATCTTAAGGAACCATTTGTCTTCAAGACGACACACCTACATGGCGAAGACACCGACCAGTCATTCTAGCTCTGCCCTAATTTGTCAATTTAACCTCAGGTCATCCTGCCCTTGGTGATGCAACGGGGACGGAAAAGCGCCGCCCGGCGGCATGCGTGGGACTGCAGGAGATTGTTTCTCGTCAAGTTGCTGTAACACATATTATGGGCTTTATTTCCCCCCTTTGATTAATGGCTCTAGGAATGGAAGTCAAAATTTTAAGAGGAACTTTTCTCATAAATATTTTCATGTTGCCTTCTAACCAGTTTTGTTAGTTATGGTTGCCTGTTTTCTAATTCATTCATTCACAACGCGTTTGTTTCTCAAAGAAAAATAATTAGTAACTAGAGAGGTGACAGTTGCAAAGCTTTGTTATAATTCTTACTCAAACACATTCATATATATGGTGACAGAAGTCTAAACCCCTCCTATTACGAAATTGGAACATTATGTAACCCAGCACTGGTTACCATGGTGACAGACGTCTGGTTCAGGTCATTGGCCAAGTCAGTGTTTGGAACGGAAGAACAAACAGAGCAAAAACAATGTTTTCCTTCGGTTAACATAACTAACTGCTGGCGACGCAAAACCCGGAATAGTTTTACCCCCAGTTCAGATGTGCGTTAGTTAGTCATGATGACGTCCCATTCATCAAACCCCCCTCTAGGGACCAATTGCCCGCTGTGCGGACCTGGTTGAACACGGGTCTTCCATTAGCCGTTTCTATGGCGGGAGTTTCGGACGGTTTGGGACAGAAACGGATCAGTCTCCAAGCAAAGGTTTCGGCTTACTAAGTATTTTTGAAGTGTTTTATGCGTTTTCATCGTTTTTCTAATGCTTACCGAATGAAAAAATATTATTTTTGCTCTGTTTCCGGAATTCCTCTTCTTCTCCAGTCAATAACCTGAACCAGACGGCTGTTACCATGGTAACTTGTGTTGGTTTACATCATGTTGCAATTTTATAGCAGGAGGGATTTAGACTCCTGTCTGACCATATTCACATGTATATGAATGTGTTTGAGTAAGAATTAACTGAGCAGACAATATTCAAAGGTAAACATTTTACATTTGCTTTCTGGTCAGGCTATCTTTTTTTTTCAATACCCAAACTTCGATACTGGAACAAAAGAATGAAACGACAGTCACCAGAAGAAAGATGACACGCTCCAAAGTTCCGTCTCGATAAGATCATGTTAACGCAGAAATGATGAGCGCTAATCACAGTCCGTCACTAATTAACCCGGTAATTAGGTGATTAGTAACCCGTTAATGAGGCGGGGTAGTTAATGATAGGTTAATGGTTAGACTCCGGGCGCCCGTGGGATGATGGGAAGAGAGATAAGCGTAAGGACACTGCCGATAATTGACCAGGTGACGTCAGGACGCACAGGTGGTTCTAGCCTAGCCTCTACCAGGCTTCGGGAGGCGGCTGGAAAGAGTGGAAATCGGCCAAATAGAGAGATAACATTCCAGGGGAGTTGGTCCGCTAGAAAGTACAGTTTATTTACCGCACTCGAACTGTACATTTTAGCGGATCAACTTCCCCGGCATGCTATCTCTCTATTTGGCCAATTTCTAGTCTTTCCAGCCATCTCACGAAGCCTGATAGAGGCTCTGGAGCCGAGGATCTAGCTATAGCCTTATACTGGCCCTGGCAACAGTCTGGTGCGTACCCAAGCTATCAATAGCCCCTTAGAAAGGCCTGGCGGAGGCTAGACAGGTCTCCACAGAACCTGATGGGCTCTTCTTTGCAGCCAAATTTCTAATAGTATGTTTAAAACGTCCACTGTTTCTCTCTATCTCTCAAACAGTATTCTGCACATACCATATGCATAGCTATAGTCGAAACTTGTTCTCCGTTCCCCGGCGCTTGACCTCCGTCCATCCCGCATTTCGCCGTTTGCAGCTCTTTTCTCCGGGCTCGAACAGCGCTTCCTGACGCTACCGGCACTTCCTCCGACTGTCGACGGGCGCTCTCTGCTCTTCTCCCGAGGCTGACCCAGTGAGGACCCCCGGTCAATGCCTAGGCTTGTCTGACCGTCCCTAACGCAACCGACACTTCCTCCGACTGTCGACGGGCGCTCTCCACCCCTCTCCCGATGCTGACCCCGTGTGGACGCCCGCTCCATGCCTGGGCTTGACTGACCGTCCCTAACGCTACCGACACGTCCCCCAACTGTCGACTGGCGCTCTCCACCCCTCTCCAGAGGCTGATCCCGTGAGGACTCCCGCTCCATGCCTGGGCTAACGCTACCAATACGTCCTCCGGCTCTCATCGGGCTGCCTCCACCCTTCTTCCGAGGCTGTCCCCGTGAGGAGGCCCGCTCCATGGCTCTACCCAATAGAACGCACCTTACCCTGGGAGCCAGACTAGTATCGGGCCGCCAGCCGGTTTCCTTCGGTAGCCAAGAGCACTACGCCCACCTACGGGGGAGTTGAGCCTGAAGGTTGTTTGCTACCCTGGGTGCCAGACTAGTATCGGGCCAGACTACACAGACTAGTATCCTACGGTAGCCAAGAGCACTTCTCCCACCTGTCTAAATTACCGCTGAGGGGTGTTAAGCCCAAGGGGAGTTTGCCGGCCCTATTACTAGGGTAAACGCAGCACCAGGTGACACATACAAGAGTGACACCGCGCTATCACATGCCCTCCTTTTCCTCAGCGTGTTTGCTGTAGCTCAGGGTAAACGATGTTTAATCGCTGCCCGATGTTACAGTAAGGGTTATAAATTCAGCACCAGGGAACACATTTATATGTCGGCAAAGTTTGTTCAGCCCAACGTGACATGGGGTAGATGCGATAAACTGAAGGACCTGTCAACACTCATTATGATAACGGGAGGGTAGACTCTAACAGGCCGTCATAAGGGTATAATAGGTAAGCTAGAAAGGTAACATTTGCAAAGAAAATGCATAATGTTTACCTTTACATCTTCTATCCTAACAAATTATACTGCTCTGTTTATTCTTACTAAAACATATTCATGTATATGGTGACCAGCCCCTTCCAACTCTGTCCTTCCCCTTGCTACATAGTGTAATACAACAACACAGGGTGTCTGATACAATACCAGTTACCATGGTGACAGACGTCTGGTCCAGGTCATTGACCTTTGGTGTTTGGAAAAGAATAAGAAGAAATAGAGCAAAAATAGTACGCTTTCCTTCTGCGAAGGTAAACATAATAACTGCCAACTTTACTACCTACAACTAGTTTTTTGGAGCACGTACCCAAAATTCCCGATCGAGTCAAACCCCTTTTTTTACCACCTTGAAGCGGTAATAACCTTTGTGAGACGGAAGTCATTGTGCAATTGTACGTGTAGTTGGTAACGTTATTGTACACCTGTACAGGTAAGGTTTACCTGTGACAGGTGGGACAGGTTCGTGTGCCGGCTCCAGACTAACGCGGACTCGGGTCTATTCTCCGGGTCAGGGCGGACTGATCCGTCCCCAAACATCGCTAATCCGACAGGGATTAGGGCGGCTCGTAGGACGACATTAGCGTCTATTAAGGGCGGGGCAGGGCGGGAGGGGACGTGGTGTTGTTGAGGGCGCCGGGTCTGGGAACGGGATTGTCTTAGCCTCTACCAGGCTTGGGGAGGCGGCTGGAAAGAGTAGAAATTGGCCAAATAGATAGAGAGATAAGCATGCCAAGTTTGTCCGTTGAGAGAACATTTCAGGTGCGGCGAAATGTTCTCTCAACGGACAAACTCCCCTGGCATGCTCTGTCTCTCTCTCTATTTGGCCGATTTCTACTCTTTCCAGCCGCCTCCCGAAGCCTGGCAGAGGCTAGAAATGTCTGGGTGGTTGGTCTTTAAACATGTTGCATCTATAGGACAAACGTTACGCTGCAGTACTGAGGAAAGCTGCCAGGAGGAACAAAATCGACCTTGACCTTCGTCTCCCCAAGACCTACCGACATACCAAATATAATCCCATCCTATATATGCTGACTATCGATATAACGAAAAAACAGAGATACAGGCAGACAGATGGGCACACCAACAGGCTCATTTTCATGGAGGTATTGATCATTTGCAAAAATAAGACATGTTGAAGTACAGATAAACCAACCGATTGGAATTTTTCTCCCACTTTATTAGCATTAGCTTTTATTGGACAAACCTCGCGCGAAATTCGCTTCTTTATTTGACCAGGGCCACCTCTTAAAATGAGAGGGTCATTAAAATCCATTTATTACTTTTTGACCGACCCTGACAGAGCGATAAGCACCTATTAACCAAACAAACACCCGCTAACTTCGGAGTTCGGACCCTGTTTAATACATTCGTCGCAAGATCGTCGTAGTACGATTGCAAAGTTACCGAAGGCATTCTTCAGATAGTCGTACACGTATCGTACAACAGTCGTGCAACAGTCGTGCAAAAAATCCAGCTGTCGTGTTAAGGAAAAGGCTGGAAGAGACCCTTGTCGGCAGTCGATTCTGTCACAACCTGTTCGAATATCCTACGGCATGATCAAATCGTGCGACGACCTAATCTCCAAGCAGTTCTGTCACAACCTGTTCGAATATCCTACGGCATGATCAAATCGTGCAACGACCTAATCTCCAAGCAGATCCCTCTTGGTATCAAATTGGCCAGGCAGTATCCATTAGGCAGAGAAGGTCGGCATCCACCAACGGGTTGGTGGGGGTCAGGACAAAAAAAAACGGCCATATATAAAAAGGTAACGATCATTCCCCACAACCTCTGCTTGGAGAGTAAGGACGACCTGCGACGAATGTTACCACGCCATTATCAACAAACACTGTTGTGAATAACGTTACCATTTCGGCAGGTATTACTTTTAGTATATGAAAAGTATGCTAGAAAGTATAAACTCACCAGTCCGATATTCCCAGGTCCCTGTATACGTACCTTGAATGACCATGTAAAAAACGTGCTAGAAAGTATGACATCAACTCACCAGTCTGTTTTCCGGGTCCCTAGGTCCTGAATGACCAGACCAGATCGGACAAACCAGCTAGCTAGATCTCTCACCGATGTTTCTCCACACGTGTCTCCCTCTCTCCCCTGTTTATCACCTAACAACCGTTTAACCCAGATCCGCGGACCAAACAGCGGTAAAACAAAGCCGCCAAAACTCGGCAAAGTTTCCAAACTTCCGAGCCAAACTTTCCCCGGTTGTTCGCCCCGTGTGTGTGCCCTGTTGTCCGCTGCGAGGTGACCAGGTGTGAACTAAGGAAGTCACCTAGGAGACCAAGTTTCGCAAGAAAAATGGCGCCGTCTCCAGGTGACCAAGGATCGCCTGTCATTGAACTGACCTCTAATTGAGTGAGAAAATCGTCCGGGGGATAAAAAATGTCGGTAAACATCTGGAACGTTTGTTTCAGACGATGTGAAACATTTAAACATGCGTTTTTTGGTCTTACAGAGCGTTGTTTAAACAGTTCTAACACCAACATTAGTTTTCTCACATGTAAGTCTACCTAATACACGCTTAACCAACATCGATACATGTAAACATCGCATTAAATGTACGTGTTTAAATGTTTAGTATCGTGTAGAAGAAATGATTCCAGTTGTTTACTGACAATTTTTATTCCTAGTGGGACGGAGAATCGTCAGTAAACATCTGGACATTTGTTTGACACGATTCTGAACATTCAGTAAACATGCGTACGTTTGGTGCAATGTTTACATGTATTGGTGTTGGTTTCGCTAGTATTATGTAGTTGTACATGTGGGTAAACTAATGTTGATGTTACAACTGTTTAAACAACGCCTGGTAATACCGAAAACGCTACTGCGCTGATAGAGGTTTGGGTGGGAAATTCGTGCATTCTTTAATGTGCGGTAATTATCAGGCATTAGCTATAACTAATGCTAATTTGCTGGCTTCGTCTGTTGTGATGAAACTATAGTGTTAACTTTTACCAAACGCATTCAAATAAATGTTCATGTAGATTTTTGGAAGACACATTTTATCGAATTCATCAAAAATGATCACCACGCTTTTGAAATATGTTGGCGATTGTTCTCAATTTTCGTTAACTTTTCGAAACAAAAAAGGTACGTGTAGACAGTAGTATATACAGGGATAGGAAAAGGAGACTATGGAAGAATTGATACAACATACATTTATATATCGGTACACCATTGCTGACTATATATTTTCCCTGTTGCCAAGGTAACGCCTGTAAACAACCTGTTTCCATGGACACCCATTGTTCTGCCCGGATCAAAGTCCGCCGCAGTGAGAGTTAAGTCCCACCTTTACCTGCCGTAATCACCTGTCGCAGGTATCGCACCTGGAAAAAATGATCCGCTACATTTTTCATTTACAGGTTGGGAATTTCTGACGCACCCGGCAACGTGACGTCACCGGCGGTATGTGATGACGTCATACCCCCGCACAGCTGGTACTGGGACACGGGGCAGGTCAAAGGTCAGCCCTGATAGGTGTTTAATGGGAGAAAATTGTTGTTTGAGTTCATCTATTAACAAGTAGTTATGGCTGACTCAGTTTACGGAGGGTTCTTCTGACCAGGGATTTATTCTCGTCATTTTCGTCATTATTTACAACAAAGCTTCAGCTGGACGTTATTTTAAGATAAAATATTGTAGCGTAATTCATGATGGTCGAAATTCCAGGTAGCTATATACAGGTTCTAAAACAAACCATGGAATGTTCGCTGTGGCACGGTTCGATAGGGACGGTTCAGGGTACAACAGAGACTATCCAGAACTGTGCCTGATCCTAACCCTAACCCATTCAGGTATAGAACTAGATATAGTTCAGGGTACAACAGAGACTATCCAGAACCGTGCCTGATCCTAACCCTAACCCATTCAGGCACAGAACTAGATAGGCACGGTTCTGGGTACAACAGAGACTATCCAGAACAGTGCCTGATCCTAACCCTAACCCATTCAGGCATAGACCTAGACAGGCACGGTTCTAGATACAATAGAGACTATCCAGAACCATGCGTAACCCTAACCCTAACCCTTTCAGCCAGGCATAGAACTAGACAGGCACGATTCTCGGTACAAGATAACCCATTCAGACTCAGAACTAGATGGGCAAAGTTCTGGATATGACGTCCATCTCCGTAAACTCGGGCGTTAGAAACGCCTGCTGTAGATGCACCCGTTCCCGGGTCTCCTGTCCCTCTTGTCGGAGTAGCAAATCCAGCACGTACCGCACACCCCGCCCGGGAACAGCCCGTCTGTAGCCTGCTCTCAGCCCGCGGATGGACGTGCGCGTCTTCCAACGGTCTGGGTTTAGGCTCTCCGTCAGCTGGAGACAACAAACAAACAAACAAACAAACAAATAAATAAACAATGTTCTGACGGTCAGGGTTGATAGGCTTTCTCCCAGTTGGAGTAAAACAAACAAACAAACAAACAAACAAACGAACAAACAAACAAGCAAATGAATAGACAAGTAAAGGCTATATCCACTGTGCACGTTGTGCTTTTTCAAGCAGGTAGCGAGCTACAATGTGGCTTAGCTCTAGGGCTAGCATTTTGGATGGATGGATAGATGGATAGATAGATGGATAAATTAGATTAGATAGATAGATAGATGGATGGATGGATGGATGGATGGATGGATGGATGGATGGATGGATGGATGGATGGATAGAAAGATACTAGTAGATAAATACTAGCCTGTGTTATGACGTCATGCAGCCCAGCCTTCATTTCCTCGGACATCTCGTATGTCAGATTCCCGCTGACCTTGAAAACCTTCTTGACCTTGAAATATTCCCAGTAAGAACTACTGTCCTCCGCTGCGTTCGGGTTGAAGAAATCCAGCGATTTCCTGGTTCTCTGCTCCGGAGCGCCGTCCAATAAAGTCTCTTCTTCTGACAGCAGCTTGGTCATGTGACGGATCTCGCGAGAGAGGACGAGAGTTCTCTGCCGGGTGTCGCGCATGCGCTGTGACAGCAGGTGTATGTTGAACCTGTACTGGTTTTCGGGCAGTTTGTTCGGGTGTAGTGTTATGGCACGGCGGACGGCAGGTTTGTCAAAATCCCCGATGCTTCCCTCCTTGTAACCTTCGTAGTTGTTGAGGAAAACGTTTTGGCCATCGTGGGCCGCACTACAGGTGACGTTCGCAACGTTATAGAAGCACCTGTAGAAACATAATTTATAATAACATGAAAAAGAAACTAAAAAGGTAACATTTCTAAAGCAATGCTTAATGTTTGCCTTCACATGCATATATGGTCTAGCCCAACAAACTCGCTACTCAAACACATTGATACACATGTATATGGTGACCAGCCCCTCCAACTCTGTCCTGTCACTTGGTACATAATGTAACCCAACACCATTAGAGCCACAGCACTAGTTACCATGGTGACAGCCGTCTGGTCCAGGTCACTGACCTTATTTTTGGTGAAGAAGAAGAAACTGAAGGAAACACAATATGTTTCCTGGTGCGGGCGCACCGTGAAAACAAAACAAACAAACAAACAAACAAACACACCTGCCCAGCTCCACGTCGTCGTGTCTTGAGTAGAGGTTGTGGAGGCACCAGGCGATGTGCGGCCCGACTCGGCGAAGCGTCTCCCGACTGGACAACAAACAAACAAACAAACAAACAATCAATGAATGAATGAATTCCTTCACTATAGAAATCACATGGACATTTTGTTTCACTGGACAATGTAAGAATACTAGTATATTGGACACTGAGCAGGGGTGAAAGAGGCTATTTACATCAGGGCCCATCACCGTTCACTCAACCGCGACGGGGGACGACATCGTCTACCAGATACCTTTGACCCAGTTTTGACCCCACATGTGACCAGCCTCACTGGGTCAGTCTACTGAGGAAGACCAGAGTGACTAGTCGAAATCTTTAGGCATGGCGCCAGGTATTATTTGTTCTAGGTGAGAGAACTTTTAGTGTTGGATCAAAAGTTTTAACTTTAAACATTGTAACTACCAATACAGATGAACTTTCATTATAGTATAGTAATCCCTTTAGGATGAAAACTGTGCTACCTGAACAGCACGCCGGTCCCGCCCATGCAGTAGTTCTGCCGCGGCTCGAAGCGCATCGCCGCCCGGTCCTCAGGCCTGCCGTACCCCGCCTGTCCTACCGCTAGGGGGCGCTCGTGCGCGTCCACGCTACGCAGGAACCGACCCAGGCGGTCCCCTTTGATGTAGACATCGTCATCAGCGCGGATGAACCAATCAAATCTGTCGACGTAGTGATCGTACATGTACTTCAACATGAGGAAAGATTTCTTCATGGGAGGGTAGACGTCGGTAACCCCTTTCAGAGCCACCACGGGAACGCCCTCGGGAGCGGCGCCTGCGGACTCTGCGGACGAGAAGAACTCCACCTTCCCGGGCACGTCTCGTACCCAGGTTTCGTGCGCGGCGACAACTCTGTTGTCCAGGTGCTTTTTCGCCGTCATCACTCCGACATACACAAGACTTTCTCTTCCTGTGCAAAAAAACCCACACACAGTTACTCAATCAACAGGATATGATTTTGGAAACGGTCTGATTTTTGAAACGGTCAGATGTTTCGGGTAGCATCCACTACCTTTCGTCAGTGACACTGTAGAGTTGTCAGGAATGTTCGCACTTGTAAACCTGTTTTTCTGACAACTTTTCAGTGTCACTGACGAAAGGTAGTGGATGCTACCTGAGTAACTGTTGTTTTTTTTTTCGAATCTTATTACCTGGATGTCTAACCTTCACCGACGGTTGTCCCCCTGCTTCAACAACATCCGATGCATCCGGGTCCTGACAAGCAGCCCAGGGGGAACTCCGTGGCGATACCACGGTCAGCTTCGCCCAGAGGAGGAACCCCAGGGCGAGACCCGCCCCTAGTCCTGCGGACTTCAGCAGTTGCCCCTTAGACCGGACCAGTCTGGCTGACACCGCGCGGATATACATGGCGCTGGAAACGGCACGGAAATTCGGTCTAGTTGGGAACATCAACACACTGAGAACGTCCTTTCAAAATGTACGTGTGAGTGAGCATGCTTTTGGACAAAGCGCGATTCTGAAGGCACATGGGCTATCCAGAACCACGCTCGAGCATTGTTTCTGAATAAAGCACGGTTCTGGAGGCACATGGGCTATCCAGATCCGTGTCTGAGCATGGTTTCGTGATAAAACATGGTTCTGGATACATCTAATTATAAGTTCCACAGTAAACCCACCCAATATCTGCATGGAGCCTAGCTAACCCCACTTCCGTATCTCTGCCGCCCACCTGACGTCTGTTTACCTGCGTTGAGGTGCGACGGGAACCGGACAGGTGAAACACACCTCATCTGAGCCTTCTTATTTACTCATATGTATACCTCCGACAATTTCCCGATTAGGACAGAAATATCAGCAATACTGTTAAAGAAGCTTTTCATTGACACATATGATATAGAACCAACAGAAGTGACTATGCGTTGTATTTGCTATTGTAGATCTGCTTACTTATTTTCCCACAAAAGGAAGGGGACATGTAGAACTAGACTAAGTATAGACGATAGTATTGCGCCATTATCACATTTTTAAAAGGCGCCACCCAAGAAAAAGTTTCCTATATATTTGTACAGGAAGTCTGAAGTACATGATCACTTACCTGTACTTGTTGCAGTAGCTGCTCATGGTACAGTGGTTCACCCAATACGTGGAACACCTGTTCTCACCTGTAGTCGTACGTACAGGTGTAACGAGAGGAACACCCGTGCTACATGTACGTTAACATACAGGTACAAACCATGTATAACGAACGGGACACACGTCCTCAACTGTACGTGCGGTTGCGCCCGATGGGATACCTGTGCTTACCTGTATGCTTACGTATGGCTGCAATGAACGCGACATGGGTCAGACCCGTGTTTGCTCAGCCGCGCCATCTGGCGGCTTTCCCACGTCCTGCACCGCTCCACCATAATAAATAAACACACTTGTGGAACGGTTTTATATTAATAGGTGAGAAAACTAACTGTTGACACTTTTACCATTGTCAAAGGAACAACTCCTGAGGCTGTATATGGGGTTAGTGAGACTGCCAAGGTTTGGAGTGAGACTGAGAGGCTGTAAATGGGGGTAGTGAGACTCCCAAGGTTTGGAGTGAGACTGAGAGGCTGTAAATGGGGGTAGAGAGACTCCAGAGTTTTGGAGTGTGACTGAGAGGCTGTAAATGGGGGTAGTGAGACTCCTGAGTTTTGGAGTGTGACTGAGAGGCTGTATATAGGGGTAGTAAGACTCCCAAGTTTCTGAGTGAGAGTCTGTGCTCTAGGCATAACACTACATTAACTGTACAGAGAAAACAGACACAGTCCTTGTACAGGTCCCACCCCATGGGTGGTTCTATATTTCCTGTTGGGACATTGTCACAAAAGGCATCAACAGTCGGCTGGAAACTAGAACTGGCGTAACTACGGAAACCGGTTAACCCTCGCTGTGTCATCACCATGGCAACTGAACATGTCTGCCTTCCTTTCTCAAGGTCACCTTTTCCTTTTTCAAGGTCACACTTCATCTTCTTCTTGTTTACTCTTCAGAGCATCTTCTGGTAACTCACCAATCTCCATTTCACTCACCACTACTGTCTCATGTACTGACCAGTCCCTGGCAGTATCAGTGGTCCATCCCCTAGCAGTAATGAACAGTCCCTTGGTTGTACCGTGTAGCTGTTTGCAATAAAATACAAGCGAACATTGAAGGCAAGAAAGAACACGGGAACAAACACAGTAACAAAGACTCATGTCCGGCTACATGACAATAAAATACTCAAGACATTTTTACTAACATCTTACACCACAGCTCCTGTAGGGCTTGCTTCTTAAGACACTGAGGAAGAACTAAAGATGTGACTTAACTGGTCAGGTGAGAACCAGGTGTGATCAGGTGGATCGCACCTTTTCGTCTCTTCACTGACTTACAACAAAATCAATTTCGTTTCAATTCTCCGTCAACTTGGATAAAACCTAACATCACAAAACTGAACACAGGAAAATCTGCAGTGTCGGCTGTTTTTGTGGTTTGACTCTAGATTACACCGTGTGCCGCAGCTCAGTTTGGGGATGGTGAAAACAATACATCACCATGGTTACCATTTGTTGCCATAGCAACTCAGGCTTCTGCAGTGACATTTCTTGGTTGATTTCTATGAACAAAACCATAGTCCTAACAACATGCTGACCAACCTTTTGGGTTTTCCAATTTTGCATTTTTTTCTTGAATTTGGGCTTTTAGTTATTTTTGTGGAAGCACTGACATTTATGTTGAATTTACACTGAATGGTTACCATCTGTAACTCATTAAAATGGGCATTCTTACAGGATTGTCAACAGAACTTTTTTTCTCTTAATGCTACACTTTTTTCAAGACTTCCAAATTTCCATATTTCTCTGCTATCTACATGTTATCAACATATATTCTACATAAAAATCTTGTAAACAAGTCCTAGGCCTGCCTATCTAGACAAATTTTCTAATCTATCTTGCTATCTACCTGTCTTTTAAAAGTTTTACTCTTTTTCTCCACCAAAACCTTTTTTTAAAGAATTTAAAATGTTTCTGAACCAAGTAATACCACTGCAGAGGCCTGGAAGTTCCTATAGCAGTTTTTTTTTTATACAGAACACTGAAGGCAGCGTAGAATACAGCATGTACGTTTTTCCGTGCATTTTTCCTGTTTGTTTTGTCTGTTTCAACATATTTTTACTCTAAACAAACACCGAGAATCGTGGCCACATCCCAACGTTGTGAAGTGACTCGCTTATCCTCCTGCCCACCCCGATAAGGCAAAAAACATTTTCATCATTTTTTTTTTCACGTGACGAAAACAGAAGTACGCGTAACGGACTTCACGTAAGGCATAGCACCAACAAGACATCGCAAAATAAACTGTGTGAAGATTCCTTCAGGGCTTAAGCCTGAAGACTTCTTCAAGATAAAACTATGTGAAGATTTCTTCAAGACCTCGGCCTCAAGATTTCTTCAAGATTGACTATGTGAAGATTTCTTCAAGACCTCAGCCTCAAGATTTCTTCAAGATTGACTATGTGAAGATTTCTTCAAGACCTCGGCCTCAAGATTTCTTCAAGATTGACTATGTGAAGATTTCTTCAAGACCTCGGCCTCAAGATTTCTTCAAGATTAACTATGTGAAGATTTCTTTTTTCAAGACCTCAGCCTGAAGATTCCTTCAAGATAAAAACTATGTGAAGTGAAGACTCCTCCAAGACTGCGTTTCTCAGTCTCTTGACTGCTCTCTACACTCAATCTATAGTCTCTATACAAAACAAAGTCTCTCAGTCTCAGCATGAAAGTTCGTCCGTGTTGGTATACTTCATTATGACCAAAAGGGCTAAACTTTCTACCCAACACTAAGTAAATTGGGACTTACCCAAATTTTCGACTGATAAACAAGGCTGACGGAGTGGTAAGTCAAAATTTGGGTGGTAAGTCCCAATTTACTTAGTGTTGGATAGAAAGTTTACTCCTCTTGGTCACAAGTCTCTCTCTCCTCTCTCTCAAGAACACAAATATCGCGAGTGTTCACTCTTTCTCTCTCCCAAGAATGCGATTCTTGCGAGTGTTTCGCGCGAATCCCGCGATCGTTCTTTCTGCGCTAGTCCTTGTCTCCTGCAGGTTTGGTGTTGTTGGGTAAGTGTTCCGTGACACAGTCAGAGAAGTGTTCCATGGCCATGTCGTCCCGGATGAAGAAGGCGCGGTGTCCGAATGTCTCCGCGATCTTCAGGTTCTCTGTGTCGTCGTCCATCAGGAGGACCTCACCTGGCTGGATCACCTGAGGAAAGGGGAAGTGAAAAAGTGATGGTGTCTGTGGAGAATCTTAATTAAATTAACAACTACGAAAGGTAACAATTGCAAAGCAAATGCATAATTTTTTCCTTCACATGGCCCAGCCTGACAAACTACTGCTCTGATCATTCTTACTGAAACACATTCATTGTACATGTACATTTGTATATGGTGAACAGGCCCTCTAACTCTGTCCTGCCACTTGCAACATAATGTAATCCAACACCAGGGTGTCTGCTACAGCACCAGTTACCATGGTCACAGATGTCTGGTCCAGGTCATTGACCTTAAGTTTATCATCCTCGTACGTATGCATTTAGCCCAATGGGCATGAACATGCAATAAAGATTGTATTTGCTTAGAAAAGAAGACAAGGCAGAAAAAGTTGTCTGGTCCATGTCATTGACCTTATTTATACCTTAAAGATAAACGCATACCTGGTGTCGTTTTGACGTGACCTCGCGCATGGCGGATGCGATGTGCTGCTGCTTGCCGAGGATCGGTACACCCTGGATCCTCCCCCAGTCCTTCGTGTTCCCTCGGATAATGATTGCACTCGTGTCACTGGTACACACATAGAAGACAAACAATCGTTATGCACACATGCTCGTGTCTCTGGAACAGGCAGGGAAGATACAAACCATTGTTACAGACTGGATACAAACCATATTGATTGATATCAAGGATTGCTTGCAGGCTTTTAGTTAGTGGGTGTCCTGAGTGTCTTTTGGATGCCCTGTACTAAAAATACTAGGAACAAGAAACTGGACCCCCCTACTATTTGATAGGACGTATATTTTTAGCATGACGTACCTGTGTGGGATGGCTATTTTTAGCATGACCTACCTGTGTGGGATGGCTATTTTTAGCATGACGTACCTGTGTGGGATGGCTATTTTTAGCGTGACGTACCTGTGTGGGATGGCTATTTTTAGCGTGACGTACCTGTGTGGGATGGCTATTTTTAGCGTGTCCTTGATGAGCGCAGACTGTGAGCTGAAGGTCACGACACACAGGTGCAGGGTGGAGTCGAGACACGCCGCGATGAAGTACTTAAAGCACGGCCGGACGTGCTTCGCCAGCTTGCTGGGGCTGTCCTCCCAGCATCCCTTGGTGTGCACTGTGATGATCGTACGGTCCCAGTCCAGGGCCACAAGTCGGACCCCCGCGGTCCGAAGCTTCTGTACAATACTGGGAACGGGAAGATGAGAGAATCAGCATCATCATAACATGATCAACATTACAACATCAGCAGTATAAGCTATAACGATCATCATCAACATCATCATTCAGTCCCAGTCCAGTGCCACAAGTCGGACCCCCGCTGTACGCAGTTTCTGTACAATACTGGGGACAGAAAGGACATAATAGAATCAGCATCAGCATAACCATCATCATTATCATCATAAACATAAGTATCGTCATCACTATCATCATGACCATCATCATCAACATCCAGTCCCAGTCCAGTGCTACAAGTCGGACCCCTGCGGTCCAAAGTTTCTGTACAATACTGGGGACGGGACAGAGACAGAATCAGCATCAGCATAACTATCATTGTCACCAATACTGTCAACATCATTATCATCATCATCATCATGGTTCGGTCCCAGTCCAGTCCCACAAGTCGAACACCCCCCCCCCCGCTATATGCAGCTTCTATACAATACTGGAGACAGCAAGGCTAGGTGAGAGAATCAGTGTCATCATCAACATAACATCATCATAACCATCATCATCATCACCATCATTCAGCCATGAGTCGAACCCCTGCAGTCCGAGGTAAGATACTGGGCATAGGAAGGACATAGAATCAACATCAGCATATAACATAACCAACATCATCATCATATCATCATCATTTGGTCCCAGTCCAGTGCCACAAGTCAAACCCTTGTGCTCCTTTAAGAACTGTACTACGATACTGGGGACGGGAAGGACCCACGTGCTCCACAACTTCTGTACAATACTCAGGGCACAAGAAGGACATAGAATCATCATCATCATCTTAAGATCATAGCTATCATCACGATCATCATCATCGTTTGGTCCCAGTGAGTCCAAACCCCCGTACTCCAAAACTTCTGTACAATACTGGGCACTGGACACAAAATAAGCATCGGCATCAACATAACATCTTCATCATAATTATTACCAACATAACATCATCATCACTATCATCATCATCTTTATCATCAGCATCACTTCCGACCTCAATATCACTATCATCATCATAATAACAATCATCATTATACTGTAGTTGTTACCACTATTCATATCATTATTTGACATACTTAACTTCTACCAAGCCTTTCCTTATGTTCATGGTTATGGATAATAGAATTCAGCAAAAATAGGGTGAAGAAGTGACCACGAGAGAAAGCCTGCATAAGGGTGGCCCAGATTTGCTCAAACCCTAGTCACTATGTCCAACCCACCTAACCCCCTCCCCTCCACTTTTAAGTTTATTACACTTGCAATATGCATTTGTCGAAGTCAGGTGTGGATTCATATAGTTTATCATACTTTGTTTCATAGCATAAAGAGTTACACATACAGATGGCACTTGGGGGAAATTATGGACTGAAATTCGAGGTCGCTAGGAGATATTCGGACCGTTTTTTAGTTCAGGGAGGAGCCATACATTCTGCGGTTGGGATTCCTACGCGGTTCGAACGCCAAGTACGCCCGGAAAACCAGAAGAATCTTTGCTCCTGACCGCAAAACCTCCGGAGGTGTGGCACGGCGACCTTACAGTTGCACCGAGAGTTGTTGGTTCGAATCGGCGTGCACAAAACACCTACCTTCGCGCCATTTCCTTCTGGGCCTTACTGGAACTCCCCCCGCTCATCTTGCAGCCGTAGTTCTGACAGAAAAGCGGGAAATTACGGCGAAATCTGGTAAAAAAGCGACGAAAACCGAGCAGAGTTCCACCTCATGACAGGCAGTAAATAGTTTCGCCGCGGCGAAACTATTTACTGCCTGTCATTTCGTCTTCGCGGCTCCCGTTAACAATAAAACATGACCAGTTAATCAACCAAATTCACATTAATTATTTGTCGAAATACATTTTGCTTTGGATTTTACTGTTTTGCAACTGAATTCTTCCTGGCGAATTGAACTTGGGTGTTAGCTATTTTCAGGCACTGTTGTACAACGGACACCCACAAGAAGTTTCCATTACCTTTGACCTTTAGTCTTCCTGATTACCATCATCAAAACACATCGTATCATTGTGAATGTGACGTCACGCGTGGCGTAGAAATGACTTTGACCTTCGCAAAGGTGAACTAAACTAAAGCATTACAAGGTAGGGGTTGTGGTATAGGAACACTATTATTTTCAGTCACAGTTTTTCATATCTGTCTCTCTCTATATATATAATATATAACGTTAACGCCCGTTAGTACTTTGCTTGGTCATACATAACTCATGTTTTTACAACACCAACATCATCTTGTCATATTATTCTATCTTGCCAAGGAGGTTGATCTTGCAGAGGTAAAACTACCTAACGAACCAACACCCCCATTTACCTAATGGTAATTCATCCTGACGTCACAATCCACAATGGAGGTCGTCGATCCCGGAAGTTACGCCCCCTCCCCCCGAACAAAGTTCGAACGACTCGAAGCGACGCACATATGGCACGAAAATGTTGCGTCTCGGTTGCGTCATGCATTGAGCTTCTTTTCGTGAACACGCGGGGCGACTTGTCTGTCATCTGTTTCTTCAAACCGCCAAGAACTGACGGACTCACTGATCGAACGTTACGTACCGACTTGGGAGAGTTTTAGAAGTTTGTGTACGTACGTACCTAGGTAGGCGTTGCCGCCGCCATGGCCCAGAGCAAGCCCCACACCCCAGGCACGGCCCGGGGCGCCAAACTGGCAGCTCTGCTGGTGGACGAGGGGACTGCGCTTGTCAGGAACAAATTTGAGGAGGAAGTAAAGAAGATGAACCCCCCAAGTCTTCGAAAGCAGCTGGGACAACACAAGAGTTACTTTTGTAGGTTGGAATACTTAAACCCTGGTCAGAGAAAAACACTGTATCCAGCCCACGGTAACAGTCCAAATACTACAGAGGGGTTTGACATATCACTCTTGAAGCTCTTGTGGAAAGAACTTGTTTTGCATGAACTCGGCAGAAATGCAGTCGAACTCAGACGAATTCAGACGTACTCAGACAAACTAAACAGACTCCGGCGGTTCAGAAACGAGAATTACGGGCACATTTCGAGCACGGACTTGTCTGAAGCAGAATTTGACAGGCTGTGGAAGGAACTGACTGGTATCCTGGTTGCTCTCGGGGGAGACAGGGACAGGATTTCAGAAAGACTCAACTCCTGCATCGACCCAGAGCAGGAGAAAAAACATTTCGATCTGCTAGAGAAACTGTACAAGGAAGACATGGAGGTCAAAGACCTTCTCCTGGCTCAGGCACAGAGTATGAAGAAAGAAATTTTGAATCAGGGAAAGAGTCTGCTGAAAGGACAAGAAACACTCTTGGCCCAAGGAGAGAGCCAGAAAAAAGAACAAGAAGAAGTTTTGGATCAGGGAAAGGGTCTGCTAAAGGGACAAGAAACACTCTTGAATCAAGGAGAGAGCCAGAAAAAAGGACAAGGAGAAGTTATGAAGGGACAAGAAGCAATCATGGCCCAAGGAGAGAGCCAGAAGAAAGAAATTTTGGATCAAGGCGAAAGCCTAAGGAAAGGACAAGAGGAGATAAAGAGTCTGTTGGAGGAAGTCCGCGATGCCCAGAGCCCAGGAGCAAATTTCGGACAACACGAGGATTCAAGCTCCAGCACAGGTGAGATTTGTCACAATAAATGTTATCTGTACATTCGACCGGCAACACAAATTTGGAGTCTTTTAACTTAATTCAGACCGTCTAGTAGCATTGGTACTCATCATGCTTTTCTGGTAGGGATTTAGCAGATTGAAGAGATCTGATGGAAAACTGACGTACTCCCTGAGTCTCCAAGCAGAGGTTGGTGGGGAAGATCGTTACCTTTCTATTCGTGTCCCGTTTTGATCCTGTCGCTACCCCCACCAACGTTGGTAGCGACACGACAGAAAAAAAGGGACATATATAGAAAGGTAACGATCTTCCCCACCAATTTGCAACCTCTGCTTGGAGAGTAGGAAAACCGCACGGAGTTATAGTAGTAAAACTGGTAGGTAACTTCACAATATTCCCCCAAGTTGCCATCCCATATAAAATAGGATAAACATGAACAAGAGATATGTTACAAATTGTCTGCTGTATGCTTAATGTTTTGAAAATCTGCACACCACTCCATACAGGATTGTCTGACGTGGCTGATGACGTCATCACCTGTCTGCAAGACCTGTACCGTACCGAGTATGCGCATGTGCGGCCTCTGCCCTGGTGCGAAGACCTCAACCTGCATCTTGGAGAAATATACACTAACCTGCAGCTCCAGCGCAGGGACGGTAAGGGGCAGTTCAATGACACAGGCAATATCGTAAGCTTAGGTGATATTTACAATCCAGGTGAAGACAGTGAAGTTAAGGTTAAATCAGAAGACAGAAAGATACGAGTTGAAGGGGACCCCGGTATTGGGAAGTCGTGCTCTTGTCAGAAACTTGCTTATGATTGGTCCTGTGGGAAACTGGATAGGTTTAAGGTTGTGTTCTTCCTAGAAATGCGACACTTAGCTGGGAAGGTAAAAGATGAAATATTTGAGCAGCTCCTACCAAAGGATACAAAATCAACCCCAGACCAGCTCTGGTCCTACATCCAACAGAACCAGGATGATGTTCTCTTCATCCTAGACGGTCTAGATGAGCTCAGTCAGGCAGCAAGGCAAGTCACAGATGTAGTGGACTTGATTCAGGGTAAAATCCTCCGGAACTGCCATGTCCTGGTGACCTCCAGGCCTTTACAATGTGTCAAAGACCTGGAAAAATGTCACCAGTTCTACAAAATAGTAGGTTATAGTAAAGAAAATTCAGAGGAGTTCATACGCAAATACTTTTGCGAGTCCCCAGAGTCTGCCTCAAAACTGGTGAAACAGCTTCAACCCGAACAGTTTCTACGTGAAAGCTATCTGTCACAAATTGTAGTAAACCCCCTCAACAACTTGCTCATTTGTGTTGTCTGGGAAGATAACAATGACCAGCTTCCCTCTAGCAAAGCTGAATTGTATGAAATGATTGTACTCTCAGTTACTAAGCGATTCTGTACAAAGAAAGACCTTCCAGTGGAAGATGACAAACTTCCTCCTGACATAGAAGCAGCCTTGCGAGGTCTGGGGAAACTGTCCTGGGTGGGGCTAGAGCAGGAGCAGCTTCAGTTTAACATAGCTCAGATTACAAAGAAATATGACAAGAACGCCGATAACATGTTGAACATGGGCCTCCTGACTAGAGATTACTCTTTCTCCAGAATCAAACGCACCTGCCTCTGCGCCTTCCTGCACAAAACGTTTCAGGAGTACATGGCTGCCTGGTATATCAGTGGCCTGTTCACGGATGGAAGTAGTAGAGAAGAGGGGTTGAAATGTCTTCGTGGATTGTTTGGTTTGAGAAATGCTAGCGATATTGACAGGGAACTGATTTTAAATAGTCGCCTTAAATACAGGGAGGTTCAGGACTGGTTACTTTTGATCCTGGGTGAGAATGCAGCCCCGCTGTTTGACATGTTTGCAGAGGAACTAACCAAAGCTCAAACTGATGAGGACAGGGACGCTTTGTCGTTTGTGTGCATCATATGGATTGGGAAATCCTGTGCAGGTGATAAAATGGCAGAGGTTGTAGCACCTTGCCTGTCTCAACACGCAACTAACAATCTGGGTGATTTTAGTGAGCGCTATGATGTGGGTGAGTTCTTTGAGCGCTATGATCACCATATAAATTGGATTGTTGGATTGACACACGTACTGACCTGCCAAAAGAAACTCACTGCAAGTAACAATCCAAGTTTGACTCAGCATCTAACAGTGGACCTCAGTCATATGGGTGTAGGATCTTCGGAAGAAGAGAAATTTGACGTGTTTGAGGAAACATTATCAGATTATGACGCATTGCGCTCTGTGGCATTAGTTGATGCTGCTGGTGGTAGTAGGGCTGCTATCCACACTTTCTCCCCACTGCGCACATTCATACCTCGGTGTGGAACAGGAAGTGTGTCCATCCATATCGACCCTCACTGTTCGTTATATCTCAAACTCTTAAGCTCGCTTGAACAGCTTTCCGTGGCACCAAGGGTGGAACATATCACAATTACCTGCGGTGTCACGGGAGACCCCCTCGACGATACACGTGATGCAGATTTCTCAGAATATGACGAGTTGTTGGCCCAAATGATTGTAAGGCAGAATTGTCTCCGCTCGTTAAGGCTGGAGATAGGCGAATGGTATCGTTATAATCATGACGTCAGGGGGTTCGGTAGCCTAACAGCTACCCTGCAGCGCATCTCCCAACATACAACACTTCAGGAGGTTGAGTTCGAGCTTCCAGTGAACGATGTGTTGACAGTATGCGTAGACGCAAATACCAATACAAGGTTTGAGGTGGTTGGAATTGTTAACAACATGGAGGTGGTAAAGTACAGAAGATATGAGAGATTTGATGTGGGGCCAATGGTTCACGAACTCACAGAATGTATCAAGAAAAACAAGCTGCTGAAGACGCTAAGGCTCAGATGGAAAACCCGGGATATCCGAATGAGAACACATAAAGTTTACCATGGAGTCTGTAACAGTCGGTCCCTCTCCAGACTGTGTTCTGCGATCCAGAGAAACCGAACTCTGGAGACGCTGGAGATTGAGGGGATGTTGACGTTGTACAAGTCTGACTCTCAGTCAGGAAGACAGGCTAGGATAATTGCCAAGTTATTGAGCAATAAACCCAGCAACTATAAGGTGCTCAACATAACTGTGTTTGCCCACAGGCCCGTGAATGACTTTGTGACGTTTCCGGCAGCTTGGGTTAGGTACCGCAGCGATAGAACAGCTGCGGAGCCCCGTGGGCCATCCACATAGCAGTAGAGAACACAAACGTCACTCACTTCTCACAGCTAAAGTGCCCTTAACAAAGGTTTCACCATGGTTATGTGTGCCTTTGATATGTACAGGTAAGAAGAATCCGTCCTCTGCTCAAATAAATAGAAACGAAATAATATCATCTACCAGTTGTCACAAGTTTCGATGTAATAGCATGTCAGAGTTCCAAGCAAATCAGGCTAGATATATTCATCCCAAATGTATCTACATTCCTATCAAGATTTCTAAACATCTGCTATGAGGTCAATATATGCACTAAAACAGAAAGGTTTATTTCTGACAAGAGCACGACAGTTCCCACCTTTGTTTGAACTTAATTAAACAAACCTTTCTTCAGTTAGATGCCATATAAAGTATCTTATTTAGATGTACTTGCGTCCACAATGTATTAGACTAAAATTCATTGAGCATGCATGTTAACACATCCATGCATTTGTTTTTCACCGATGTGTGTTAAGCTTATTTTTAGTGCGGCACCAACCCATGCCTGTATACTAGTAAGTAAGTAAATGAAATCAAAATGGCACCAAGAACAGTGTGTATCTGCCGAGGTTCATTTGGGAGCGTTACAAAAGTTGTACTTACATTTACAACTAAAGATGGCTTATTTCTATTTTACTTAATAACACAATAGTTGCATTCCCTGGTACAGTTATAAGCTTGTTTATGGCTTGTTTACAAGTTTGTTTAAAGTCGTGTTTGTAGATTGACTTGTACATATTGTCCTTTCTGTTGACCAGAAGGGAGGATATTTGTGATATTTGTAAATGAAGGATCGCCAAAGGTATCAGACACATTGTATATATTTGTAATGCTTATCGTAATTGGAAGACTATACTATGTGTGTAAGTCTGTAAAAGAACGCTTAGATATTTACATGATGTTCACGAAGCAAATGAAACCACTGCAATGCGCTATATTAAACAGATGTTAAATATACATATTGATGTCAGTCTGTTGATTTGTTTTGAGATAATACCATGAACTAGGACAATAGCGTGATAATCTGAGTAGATTTTGTGAAGATCAGACGCAAAAATACGGATAAAATGTAAAAAAAAAAAAGGTGGGCCCCCAAAATAACCTGTAGTTACTTAGACATTGTGTCACACTATGTTTGACAGTCATTACAAAACTCACTGATTTTCAACTGACTCATATCATAATACATTTGGCGTACGTGGTAGCCTACTAATTCCCCCTTCCAGCCTTATGCCCCCCTCCAGCGTAATGCCCCCTCTCGACCTACTTGCCCCAGGGCTCCCTTAATGCACACCTGCAAGATCCCCCCACACCTGTAAGCCCCACCCCCCACAACACATAAACACACATGCATGTAAGGTGACCCGAGCTGGCCTTTTGTTCTCATGAGCACGGGGTAAGAACTGCCAAAGACAAGTCAAAAGCAAAACGTGTCTGGAGAAAAGCAAAAATCATTGGTGGAGTCATCATCAAGCAACCACATGCTTCTCCCTTCCTGCACGGTGTTTCCCCAAACTCGTACACAATAGTGGCCTGTTGGCTGCACGGAAACATGCCAGGAACGGATACCATATTTCGTCAATGATGGTGAGACATCCAGGTATTATCAGATTCACTGACGAAAAGTTGTGAATTGCTACTTGAAACGTCCGACAGATTCAAAATCTAACCGGATATACCTTTCCTTCAACAAACGACATGACGATAGCTCAAAATCGTACTGCTTTTATGTATGGCTAAAGCTAAAAGCAGTCATTAGTTCCCATGAATAGATTAACCTTCAGTCTGCTAAGGTAGCTGTTTGGCACCACATTTGTACTGGATATGGGGTTAGGCAGCAGGGCGAAGTTTACCGAACCCTGAAGGGCCTGTATGTTGCGCGGCCTGGAGTCACTCTTAGCCCGTAACCTCGGTAAGGGTCGTTGGCCGGTTTCATCAGCTTAAATAGGGGTTTATAAACGTCTTTTTCTTACATTGACATTGTTCAAGAGCATGCAGTATAAAACACAAGCCTGTATGAAATTAGTAAATACTTGTCATGTATGTTAGTTTATTCTTGTATTGTGGCAACTGCATTTCGATGAGAGAAAAAAGATTAAATACTAGTCACCCCGGCCCCGACTGTCGAATGGTTCATGCTCAGGTGTGCAAAACCATGGCAAAGGTAAACAATGAGAATGACGTATTGGGGCCGCCATCTTGGCAAACAAACTTTTATTCCCCTGACGACTTGTGGCTCTTTTCTATTCAACATTGTCCGTATGAAGCTTCATAGGAGGCTCTGCCCATGGGATTCGCTTGCTGTGCTTCATCTGGAAAGAAATTACGCGTAAATTGAATGGCAGGTGTGTAATATGACGTTTTGGTGAACATTTGAATGGCGTGTGTACGAACCTGAAAGAATACTACAGCCTAGTATAGTATTAAGAAGAGAGAAATGTAGCAGACTGCACCTAGTACCTGATCACTATTGGGACATTTACACCGCTACCATGGCCCTGAGCAAGCCCACAAACACGGACCCGGTCTACACCCCAGGTACGGCCCGGGGTGCCAAACTGGCAGCTCTGCTGATCGACGAGGGGACTGCGCTACTCAGGAGAATATTTGAGGACGATGTAAAGAAAATGAACCCTCCAAGTCTTCGTGTGCAGCTGAAGAAGCACAATAGGTACCTTTGTGGATTGCGACGCTTGACTGCTGGTCAGAGAGAAACATTGTATCCAGCCAGCGGCAATGTACCAGATACAGCGCAGGGGTTTGACATATCACTCTTAGAACTCCTCCTGGAAGAAATTGTGTGCTATGAACTCGGTAGAAACGCACCGTATTCAGGCGAACGGGACAGACTCCGGCGGTTCAGAAACGACAATTACGGGCACATTTCAAGCACGGACTTGTCTGAAGCAGACTTTGACAAGCTCTGGAATGAACTGACTGTTATACTGGTTGCTCTCGGAGGAGGAGACAGAGACAGAATTGCAAAAAGGCGCAGGCGCAGCATCGACCCAGAACTGGAAAGGAAGTACTTCGACCTGCTAGAGCGACTGCACAAGGAAGACCTCATTCTGGCTCAGTTAGGGAGTCTAAGGAAAGGGCAAGAAAAAGTTTTGGATCAGGGAAAGAGTCTGCTGAAGGGGCAAGAAACACTCTTGAATCAAGGAGAGAGCCAGAAAAAGGTACAAGAAGAAGTTTTGGATCAAGGAAGCAGGCTGCTGAAGGGGCAAGAAACACTCTTGGTCCAAGGTGAGAGCCAGAAAAAAGGACAAGAAGAAGTTTTGGATCAGATGAAAGGACAAGAAGCAATCTTGGCCCAAGGAGAGAGTCAGAGAAAAGAAATTTTGGATCAAGGCGAAAGCCTAAGGAAAGGACAAGAGGAGATAAAGAGTCTGTTGGAGGAAGTCCGCGATGCCCAGAGCCCGGGAACAAACTCCGGACAACGTGAAGATTCAAGCTCCAGCACAGGTAAGATTTATCACAAGAAATGTTATCTACTTACATTTGACAGGCAACACAAAATAAATATGTTGTGTTTAACCCTTGTTTCTTTGGGTATATGTGTCGTGTCTTTCTAGTGATGTTTGGGAAGACTACTAGTATTAATAAGCTGAGAATTTATAAAAGTTTTGGACGTTAGATATCTAAAAGATCCTAACATCATATGTCATGTTGGAAAAGTACACTATGTCACTGTACAGTTCAGCCACTGCCTACAGGCTGTTGTTAATCTGTCGTTCACTCCGTGTTCCCCTCCCATTATATAGCAGACTAATCTTACATTTTCTGTAAAACGTCTTCATTTGTTCACTAATGTATTTTCCCAGCCAAAGTGCAGGGGTTGACATGATATATTTGCAACTAATAACAAAACATATAATACTGCAAAGGTGACATGTATACTTATTTATTACTGCATACATTGAAATGCTATTGTCAGATATGCAACTTCTAACAGTATATGAAATACATATTCCCTTTTGTAGCTTTAGAGCCAGTCTGTGATAACCAGAGCCTGGGGGCGATCACAAAACCATCTGCACAATCAAGCTGCCAAACAGACCAAGGTGCAGGTGAGTTGTGCTACTTACAGGGGGCAGGGATTCTCTCATCTACATGGGGGGTTAGGGTAAGGGTTATGTTCCCTTTAAAAAATGTACATATGCACTTAAATTATGCAGTTATAATATTTATATGGATCTCTATTTCATGGAATATGTTACAGTAGGAAATCTCAGTACATTTTATTGTACATACATAAGCTTGAGGACTGGCTGTTCTAAGAATGACAGGTACTGACAAATATGAAATTGTCAAAAAGCAGTTACTCAAGCAACTGGATATGATTTTGGAAACGGTCAGACGTTTCAGCTAGTATCCAATAGCTGTCGTCACTGACTGGCATGTTGGAACAGTCGCTGACGAAAGCTAGTGGATACTAGCTGAAATGTCTGACCGCTGTAATGTATGAAGTAAAATACAACATAATTCACTTTGATTTGATCCATCTTTTGCACATTATACTACTAGTAGATGGATCAAATCAAAGTGAATTATGTTGTATTTTACTTTATACATTACTTTATAACCTGTGTATATTCCAGGGTTATCTGAGGTGCCTGATGACGTCATCACCTGTCTGCAGGACTTCTACGCTTCCGAGTATGCGCATGTGCGGCCTCTGCCCTGGTGCGAAGACCTCAACTTGCACCTTGAAGAAATCTACACCGACCTGCAGCTCCAGCGTAGGGACGGTAGGGGGCGCTTCCGGGACACAGACACTATTGTAAGCTTAGGTGATATTTACAATACAGGTGAAGACAGTGAAGATAAGGTTAAATCAGAAGGCAGAAAGATACGAGTTGAAGGGGACCCTGGTATTGGGAAGTCGTGCTCTTGTCAGAAGCTTGCTTATGATTGGTCCTGTGGGAAACTAGACCGGTTTAAGGTTGTATTCTTTCTGGAAATGCGACACTTAGCTGGGAAGGTAAAGGATGAAATATTTGAACAGCTCCTACCAAAGGATACCAAAACGACCCCGGACCAGCTCTGGTCCTACATCCAACAGAACCAGGATGATGTTCTCTTCATCCTAGACGGTCTAGATGAGCTCAGTCAGGCAGCTAGGCAAGTCACAGATGTGCTGGACCTGATTCAGGGTAAAATCCTCCGGAACTGTCATGTCCTGGTGACCTCCAGGCCGTACCACTGTGTCAAAGACCTGGCGAAATGTCACCAGTTCTACAAAATACTAGGCTATCGTTTGTACGATTCAAGGAAGTTTGTGTACAAATACTTTAGCAAATTCCCAGAGTCAGCCTCAAAACTAGTGGAACAGCTTCACAGTAACAGAAATCTGTCAGAAATAGTAGTGAACCCCCTCAACAACGTACTTGTATGTGTTGTGTGGGAAGATAACAATGGCCAGCTGCCCTCTAGCAAAGCTGAACTCTATGAAATGATTGTAATCTCAGTTGCTAAGCGATTCTGTACGAAGAAAGACCTTTCAGTGGAAGGTGATGAGCTTCCTCCTGACATAAAAGCAGCCTTGCGAGGTCTGGGGAAACTGTCCTGGGAGGGGCTAGAGCAGGAGCAGCTCCAGTTTAACACAGCTGAGATCACAAAGAAATATGGCACAAATGCCGATAACATGTTGAGCATGGGCCTCCTGACTAGAGATTACTCTTTCTCCAGAATCAAACGCACCTGCTTCTGCGCCTTCCTGCACAAAACGTTTCAGGAGTACATGGCCGCCCGCTATATCAGTGGCCTGTTCAGTAGTAGTAGTAGCAGAGAAGAGGGGATGAAATGTCTTCGTAGTTTGTTTGGTTTGACAACTACCACTGGTGTCAACAGTAAACTGATCTTAGCTAGTCACCGTAAATACAGGGAGGTTCAGCAATGGTTGGTTTTGATCCTAGGTGAGAATGCAAACCCGTTGTTTGACATGTTTGCAGAGGAACTAAGCAAAACTCAAACTGATCAGGACAGGGACGCTTTGTCGTTTGTGTGTATCACGTGGCTTGGGAAAACCTGTGCAGGTGTTAGAATGGCAGAGATTGTGGCACCTTGTCTGCCTCAACACGCAACTAACAACCTGGGTGATTTTAGTGAGCGCTATGATCGTCATATGGATTGGTTTGTAGGTTTGACACACGTACTGACCTGCCAAAAGAAACTAACTGTAAGTATTAATCCAAGTTTGACTCAGCATCTGACAGTCAACCTCCGTCATATCAGTGCAAGATCTTTGATTGAAGAGGAATTTGACGTGTTAGAAGAAACATTATCAGATTACGACGCATTGCGTTCTGTGACATTACTAGATCCTGGTGGTGGCGTTAGGGCTGCTGTCCACACTTTCTCCCCACTGCGCACATTCATACCTCGGTGTGGAACAGGAAGTGTGTCCATCCGTATCGACCCTCACGGTTCGTTATATCTCAAACTGTTAAGCTCGCTTGAACAGCTTTCCGCGGCACCAAGGGTGGAGCATATCAGAATTACCGGTGGTGTCACGGGAGACACCTTTGACGATGCACCTGATGCAGACTTCTCAGAATATGACGAGTTGTTGGCCCAAATAATTGTAAGGCAGAATTGCCTCCGGTCCTTAAGGCTAGGGATAGGAGGATGGTATCGCCAGGATACTGATGTTAGGGGGTTCGGTAACCTAACAGAGACCCTTCAGAGCATCTCCCAACATGCAACACTTGAGGAGGTTGAGTTCGAGCTTCCAGGGAACGATGTGTTGACATTAGGTGCAAATACAAAGTTCGAGGCGGCTGGTATGGTTGACAATGTGGAGATGGTAAAATACAAATGTCATGAGACATTTGATGTGGAGCCAATGGTCCAAAAACTCACAGAATGTATCAAGAAAAACAAGAAGCTGAAGACACTAAGGCTTAAATGGAAACTCTGGGATATTCGAAATATAACACATAAAGTTTACCATGGAGTCTGCAGCAGTCAGTCCCTCTCCAACCTGTGTTCTGCGATCCGGAGAAACCGAACTCTGGAGACGCTGGAGATTGAGGGCATGTTGTCTGACTCTCAGTCAGGACGACAGGCAAGGATAATTGCCAGGTTTTTGGGTAATAAACCCAGAAACTATAAGGTGCTCAATATAACTATCTATGCCCGCACGCCCGGGAATGACTTTGTGACGTTTCCGGCAGCTTGGGTTAGGTACCGCAGCGATAGAACAGCTGCGGAGCCCCGTGGGCCATCCACATAGCAGTAGAGAACACAAACGTCACTCACTTCTCACAGCTAAAGTGCCCTTAACAAAGGTTTCACCATGGTTATGTGTGCCTTTGATATGTACAGGTAAGAGGAATCCGTCCTCTGCTCAAATAAATAGAAACGAAATAATTTCATCTACCAGTTGTCACAAGTTTCGATGTAATAGCATGTCAGAGTTCCAAGCAAACCAGGCAAAGATATATTCATCCCAAATGTATCTACTTTCCTATCAAGGTTTCTAAACATCTGCTATGAGGTCAATGTATGCACTAAAACAGAAAGGTTTGTTTCTGACAAGAGCACGACAGTTTCCACTTTTGTTTGAACCTAATATCACAAACCTTTTCTTCAGTTAGATGCCATATACAGTATGTTATTTAGATGTCCCTGCCTCCGCAATATATTAGACAAATATGTATATTAGACATGCATGTTAACACATTGTTTTACACCGATGTGAGTTAAGATTAGTGCAACGACCCATGTCTGTATAATAGTACGTGATGCTCACTGAAATCAAAATGGCACCAGGTCCAAGAACATTCCTGTCTGCAGACAATGAAGAAAATACGCAAACGTGTGTATCTACCGAGGTTCATTTGGGAGCGTTACAAAAGTTGTACTTACATTTACAACTAAAGATGGCTTATTTCTATTTTACTTAATAACACAATATATGCATTCCCTGGTACAGTTATACGCTTGTTTATGGCTTGTTTACAAGTTTGTTTATAGTCGTGTTTGTAGATTGACTTGTACATATTGTCCTTCTGTTGACCAGAAGGGAGGATATTTGTGATATTTGTAAATGAAGGATCGCCAAAGGTATCAGACACATTGTATATAGTTGTAATGCTTATCGTAATTGGAAGACTATACTATGTGTGTAAGTCTGTAAAAGAACGCTTAGATATTTACATGATGTTCACGAAGCAAATGAAACCACTGCAATGCGCTATATTAAACAGATGTTAAATATACATATTGATGTCAGTCTGTTGATTTGTTTTGAGATAATACCATGAACTAGGACAATAGCGTGATAATCTGAGTAGATTTTGTGAAGATCAGACGCAAAAATACGGATAAAATGTAAAAAAAAAATAAGGTGGGCCCCCAAAATAACCTATAGTTACTTAGACATTGTGTCACAGTATGTTTGACAGTCATTACAAAACTCACTGATTTTCAACTGACTCATATCATAAATACATTTGGCGTACGTGGTAGCCTACTAATTCCCCCTGGCCCTCCAGCCTTATGCCCCCCTCCAGCGTAATGCCCCCTCTCGACCTACTTGCCCCAGGGCTCCCTTAATGCACACCTGCAAGATCCCCCCCACACCTGTAACGCCCCCCCCCCACCAACACATAAACACACATGCATGTAAGGTGACCCGAGCTGGCCTTTTGTTCTCATGAGCACGGGGTAAGAACTGCCAAAGACAAGTCAAAAGCAAAACGTGTCTGGAGAAAAGCAAAAATCATTGGTGGAGTCATCATCAAGCAACCCCCTGCCTCTCCCTTCCTGCACGGTGTTTCCCCAAACTCGCACACAATAGTGGCCTGTTGGCTGCACGGAAACATGCCAGGAACGGATACCACAATTCGTCGATGATGGTGAGACATCCAGGTATTATCAGATTCACTGACGAAAAGTTGTGAATTGCTACTTGAAACGTCTGATAGATTCAAAATCTAACCGGATATACCTTTCCTTCAACAAACGATATGACGACAGCTCAAAATCGTACTGCTTTTATGTATGGCAAAAACTAAAAGCAGTCGTTAGTTCCCATGAATAGATTAACCTTCAGTCTGCTAAGGTAGCTGTTTGGCACCACATTTGTACTGGATATGGGGTTAGGCAGCAGGGCGAAGTTTACCGAACACTGAAGGGCCTATATGTTGCGCGGCCTGGAGTCACTCTTAGCCCGTGACCTCGGTCAGGGTCGTTGGCCGGTTTCATCAGCTTAAATGGGGGTTTATAAATATTTTTTCTTACATTTTTCAAGAGCATGCAGTATAAAACACAAGCGTATGAAATTAGGAAATACTTGTCATGTATGTTTGTTTATTCTTGTATTATGGCAACTGCATTTCGATGAGAGAAAAAAGATTAAATACAAGTCACCCCGGCCCCGACTGTCGAATGGTTTATTCTCAGGTGTGCAGAAGTAAAACTACCTTACCTTACAACACCCCCATTTACCTAATCATCTTGACGTCAAAATCCACAATGGAGGTCGTCGATCCCGGAAGTTACCCCCTCCCCGAACAAGTTCGAACGACTCGAAGGCCAATGACCGGTATTGGTATTAAACATGTAAGAAAGAGGGTGTCAAAAGTCAAAAAGTGCGGCTTCTACTACTAGGCTTCTACGCCTGCGCCAATGCATTACCGGACTTATCCTACTGGGGCCGCCATCTTGACAAACGGACTTTCATATCGCTGAGGACTTGTGACTTTCCTGTCCAACATTGCCCATGAAAAGCTTAATAGGAGGCTTCATCCGTGTGGTTGGCTTGCTGTGCATCTTCTGGACAAAATTATGCGATAATTATGCGATTAATTTGGATGTTAGGTGGGAATTCTAAGATCAGTTTGTAGGCCTAACCAACATTTGAATGACGTGTACGAAAGTGAAAATGATACTACTTAAGAAGGGAGGGTAATTTAGCAGGTTGCACCTGACCACGTTCCGGCCATTCTCGCTGCTACCATGACCCTGTAACCCTGCTAGATCAGCTCAGCTGTACAGGAAGATATGGAGGTCACGTACTTTCTGAGAAATCTCGAGCAGGGACAAGAAAGTCTGAAGGAGGGGCAAGACCGTCTGAAGAGAGGGCAAGACAGTCTGGAGGAGGGGCAAGACCGTCTGAAGAGAGGGCAAGACAGTCTGGAGGAGGGGCAAGACCGTCTGGAGAGGGGACAAAACAGACTAGAGAGAGAACAGGAAAGGCTGAAGGAAGGACAAGACAGTCTGAAGGAAGGGCATGACAGTCTGAAGGAAGGGCAAGACAGTCTGAAGGAGGGGCAAGGAAGTCTGAAGGAGGGGCAAGGCAGTCTGAAGAGAGGGCAAGACAGTCTGGAGGAAGGACAACGCTGTCTGGAGAGAGAACAGGAAAGTCTGAAGAGAGGGCAAGACAGTCTGGAGAGGGGACAAAACAGTCTGAAGTGGGGACAAGACAGTCTGAAGGAAGAACTAAAGGAAGGACAACGCCGTCTGGAGAGAGAACAGGAAAGTCTGAAGAGAGGACAAGTCAGTCTGGAGGAAGGGCAAGACCGTCTGAAGAGAGGGCAAGACAGTCTGAAGGAAGGGCAAGACAGTCTGAAGGAAGGACAAGACATTCTGACGAGAGGGCAGGACAGTCTGGAGAGGGGACAAAACAGTCTGGAGAGGGGACAAAACAGTCTGGAGAGAGAACAGGAAAGTCTGAAGGAAGGGCAAGACAGTCTGAAGGAAGGACAAGACAGTCTGAAGGAAGGGCAAGACAGTCTGAAGGAAGGACAAGACATTCTGACGAGAGGGCAAGACAGTCTGGTGAGGGGACAAAACAGTCTGGAGAGAGAACAGGAAAGTCTGAAGGAAGGGCAAGACAGTCTGAAGGAAGGGCAAGACCGTCTGAAGAGAGGGCAAGACGGTCTGAAGGAAGGACAACGCTGTCTGGAGAGAGAACAGGAAAGTCTGAAGAGAGGACAAGTCAGTCTGGAGGAAGGACAAGGCATTCTGAAGAGAGGGCAAGACAGTCTGAAGAGGGGACAAAACAGTCTGAAGTGGGGACAAAACAGTCTAGAGAGAGAACAGGAAAGTCTGAAGGAAGGGCAAGACAGTCTGAAGGAAGGACAAGACAGTCTGAAGGAGGGACAAGGCAGTCTGAATTTAGGGCAAGACAGTCTGGAGGAAGGGCATGACTGTTTGAAGGAAGGACAAGGCATTCTGAAGAAGGGACAAGGCAGTCTGATGGAAGGACAAGACATTCTGAAGAAGGGGCAAGACAGTCTGAAGAAGGAGCAAGGCAGCCTGAAGAAAGGGCAAGACAGTCTGAAGGAAAGACAAGGCAGTCTGAAGGAAGGACAAGACAGCCTGAAGGAAGGGCAAGACAACCTGAAGGAAGGACAAGACATTCTGAAGAAAGGGCAAGCCAGTCTGAAGGAGGGGCAAGACAGCCTGAAGGAAGGGCAAGACAGTCTGAAGGAAGGGCAAGACAGCCTGAAGAAGGTGCAAGGCAGCCTGAAGGAAGGGCAAGACAGTCTGAGAGAAGGGCAAGACAGTCTGAAGGAAGGACAACACAGTCTGAGAGAAGGGCAAGACAGCCTGAAGGAAGGGCAAGGCATTCTGAAGGAAGGGCAAGCCAGTCTGAAGGAGGGGCAAGACAGCCTGAAGAAGGTGCAAGGCAGTCTTAAGGAAGGGCAAGACAATCTGAAGGAAGGACAAGACAGTCTGAAGGAAGAACTGACGGAAGGGCAAAGCCGTCTGGAGGAAGGACAACACAGTCTGAAGGAAGGACAGTAACGAGTTGAAAACTTTGTTTTTGGAATACTTCCGTGGTACCCAGAGGCAGAGCTCGGGGGCGAAAACGAAACCATGTGTGGAATCAAGCTGGCAGACAGACCATGACACAGCCACGGGTAAGTCATGCTTCTCACAGGTCGTTTCATCTGGAAGGGCAGCAGGCATTCTAATGTTCCTTTTGTTACTCAATGAAGGAGGTATCCCTCCCGCAGGAGTATTGTGGTCAGTCGGCTTTCGTCGTCCCTAAAACGGGTTCCCTTTGTTTAATCGGTATGTAATTTTATATGTTGTCTGCAGACATGCGCGTGACGATGCACATATTTTTTACCGTAGCTGTTTTCGTGGTCAATGTAATATTTCAGAAGCACCCCTACATGTACATTTAAAAGGCATTTGGGACTGGCCGCAAAAATTACACCCTGTTTTGAATAACGGGGGGGGGGGACGTGTTTGTTTGTATGACATGGCCATGCAATCATTAGAAAACGTTGCAATGGATGTCAATGCATATCGTTAGATAATATGGACTGTTTCAGTATTGTACACATTATAACTGGCCATCAAACCAATCATAGCTAAGATAGTTACAAATACAAAATAGTGTACTAGTAGTTTTTTTTTCAAAGTGGAACATACAGAAGTCATAGTCAAATGTTTGCCCGTGACATTTCTTCCCAGCCATTGTGTGTATGAAAGTGAAAGTGAAAGTTGTATAATGTGTACTGTATTCAATTTGATATAAAAGAACCTATGCTTATTTCAGGGTCGCCTGATGACATCATCGCTAATCTGAAGGACCTGTACCGTACCGAGTATGCGCAGGTGCGGCCTCTGCCCAGGTGCGAAGACCTCAACCTGCAACCTGGAGAAATCTACACCGACCTGCAGCTCCAGCCTAGGGACGGTAGGGGGCGCTTTCAAGGTACAGATATCATTACCTTAACTGCTATTTACAGTAGCGTACGAAAGATACGAGTAGAGGGGGATCCTGGTATTGGGAAGTCGTGCTCTTGCCAGAAGCTTGCTTATGATTGGTCCTGTGGGAAACTGGACAGGTTTAAGGTTGTGTTCTTCCTAGAAATGCGACACTTAGCTGGGAAGGTAAAGGATGAAATATTTGAGCAGCTCCTACCAAAGGATACAAACACGACCCCGGACCAGCTCTGGTCCTACATCCAACAGATCCAAGATGATGTTCTCTTCATCCTAGACGGTCTAGATGAGCTCAGTCAGGCAGCTAGGCAAGTCACAGATGTGATGGACTTGATTCAGGGTAAAATCCTCCGGAACTGTCATGTCCTGGTGACCTCCAGGCCGTACCACTGTGTGAAAGACCTGGAGAAATGTCACCAGTTCTACAGCATAGTAGGCTATAGTGAGGAAAACTCAGAGGATTTCATACGCAAATACTTTTGCAAATCCCCAGAGTCTGCCTTACAACTAGTAAAACAGATCCACAGTAACAGAAAATCTGTCAGAACTAGTAGTGAATCCCCTCAACAACTTGCTCATATGTGTTGTCTGGGGAAGATAACAATGAACAACTACCCTCTAACAAAGCCGAACTGTATGACATGATTGTACGTTCAGTCGCTAAACGATTCTGTGCAAAGAAAGCCCTTCCAACGGAAGGTGACAAACTTCCTCCTGACATAGAAGCAGCCTTGCGAGGTCTGGGAAAACTGTCCTGGGAGGGGCTAGAGCAGGAGCAGCTCCAGTTTAACATAGCTGAGATCACAGAGAAATATGGCACAAACGCCGATAACATGTTGACCTTGGGCCTCCTGACTAGAGATTACTCTTTCTCCAGAATCAAACGCACCTGCTTCTGTGCCTTCCTGCACAAAACGTTTCAGGAGTACATTGCCTCCCACTATATCAGTGGCCTGTTCACAGGTGGTAGTAGAGAAGAGGGGATGAATTGTCTTCGTAGGTTGTTTGGTTTGACAACTACTGGTGTCGACAGGGAACTGATTTTATGTAGTCGCCGCAAATACATGGAGGTCCAAGACTGGTTACTTTTGATCCTAGGCGAGAATGCAAACCCACTGTTTGACATGTTTGCAGAGGAACTTAACAAAGTTGAAAATAGATGAGGACAGGGATGTTTTGTCGTTTGTATGTCTCACGTGGCTTGGGAGAACGGAATGTGCAGGTGTTAAAATGGCAGAGATTGTGGCACCTTGTCTGTCTCAGCACGCAACTAACAACCTGGGTGATTTTAGTAAGGACTATGGTCGCCATATGGATTGGTTTGTAGGTTTGACACACGTACTGACCTGTCAAAAGAAACAAACTGTAAGTGACAATCTAAGATTGACCCAGCATCTGACATTCAATTGCAGTTATATCAATGACGATGCAGGGTCTTCAGATCGGGAGAAACTTGACGTCTTGGTAGACACATTATCAGATTACTGCGCATTGCATTCTGTTACATTCCATGAGACTGATGTTCCTGGTGTTAGACTTAGAGCTGTTGACCACTCTTTCTCCCCACTGCGCGCATTCGTACCTCGGTGTGGAACAGGAAGTGTATTCATTCATATCAACCCTTTTCTTAATCCTCCAAATACATTATATCTGTCACTGTTAAGCTCACTTCAACAGCTTTCCATGGCATCAAGGATAGAACATATCAGAATCACGGTAGGAAGACTTGTCATGGGAGCTCGAGGCAACTTTGGGGATACGCCTGATGCAGATTTCTCAGAATATGACAGGCTGTTGGCCCAAATGATTGTAAGGCAGAATTGTCTCCGCTCGTTAAGGCTGGAGATAGGCGAGTGGTATCGTTATGATCCTGAAGTCAGGGGGTTCGGTAATCTAACAGAGACCCTACAGAGCATTTCCCAACATGCAACACTTGAGGAGGTTGAGTTCGAGCTTCCAGGGAACGATGTGTCTATGACAAAGAATGTTGGATTTGCAGTCAAAGAAATTCCTGAAACATTTGAGGTTGAACCGATGGTTCAGGAACTCACAGAATGTATCAAGAAAAACAAGGTGCTAAAGGCACTAACACTTAGGTGGAAGCAATGGGATCCTGAAAATATGACAAATATCACAAAAAAAGTCTACCACGGGACGTGTAGTAGCGAGTCCCTCTCCAGCCTGTGTTCTGCAATCCAGGAAAACCAAACTCTGGAGACGCTGGTAGTTGAGGGAATGATCTGTAATGGGTTATGTAAGGAGTTCGAGATGTTCTTGGAGTCATTGGGTTATCAGGAGATTATTGACGAGCTGATGCGTAACAAACCCAGCAACTATAAGGATATCAGAATCATAATGTTTGACTGTGTATCTCAGGTTGCAATTGATTCCTCTGTCGACATTAATTTTTGCTAAATTGGACGGATGTTGTCTGAGTCAGACGAAAAGTTATTTTACCTCTGGCTTGGCCAAGAAAGTTATGTTTTTGGTAGCGTTTGTTTCTGTCCTTGTAGTTTAGTATGATGATCCTAGGAATTTATGGATGTATTGTCATGAAATAGAAATCAGAACCTCATTTGCATAATAGATAAGAAAATCCGGATCCTACAATGGCTATTGTTAAAGAATAGAATTGCAAACGTTTGGGCAACGTGCTATTTGGTTAGAGCGGATCATAAGGACCTTATTTTGCATCATCAATGAGAAACAATTATAATATGTCAGTCATAAAGGTTAAACTTCATTTGGTGAAGGTAGTGAGGAGATTGTGGAACGTGTTTACAGCTGACAAGAGCACGACAATACCCATCTTTCACAAAACTTTCTGCAGATGTCTGCAGTCATATTAGCTATATAGCTTATTTACTTGTCCCTGCCTCTACACTGTAATAGACTAAAACCATATTATATACTAATATAGGTTTCAATATGTTTTACACCGATGAATACCCCATACCCTTATAAGTGTAAAATAACTACACTCAAATAAAAAATGCACAACATTTCGGTACTATGTAGATTTTACAATACATGTACATAATGAGACCATGTAGTGCGGCACTGACTCAGTTTTACATACAAATAGACATATCCAAGACTTCTTTCCACTTTACTTGATAATGCAAAACAATATGTATTTAGCCTTTAGCCTATTCAACCTTTGTTTGTGCTGACAAGCAACAAGCATTTGTTTAAAGTAAAACAAAACAGATGTCAGTCTGTGATATGTTTCCCAACAAGGACGTATCAAGTGTGCGTCATTATTAACTATAAGTAGTTCAGAATTGTGCCAAGTATATCTGAACAACTGTAGACTAATGTTTTATTGTGATATACATAAGAAATTGTGAATTCATAAGATGCATAACTCTATATAACTCCAACAGTTGTGTATGCTAGCAGCAGAACATTAAACAATGAATATAACACATGTTGTTGTCCATATGTTTTATTTCTTATAATGAATGCCCCATAAAAAGAGAGAGAAAGAGAGAGAGAGG